AACCTCTGTCTTTTTTGCTGGTGGTGGCAGCTCATGTCTTTAGTTTTAGCAGTTGAGAGATGGAGGCAGGAGGATCACTGTGAACTGGAAGCTGGTCTGCCCTACATAAATAGTTCCAGATTTGCCCACACAAAAAAACAACAACAAGAAAAACAACAACAGCAAATCAACATTTTCAAAACAGAAGTAATTATAAAATGAAAAGCCGCCAAAGGGAGCTAGATTGCCGCTCCGCAGAGCCCACATGAAGCAGATGCTGTGCACTGCGCCCCAGAGGAGTGAGTCTCAGCACACATGGGCACAGCTACAGACACACTCGACGAAACCGATATCATTTGCTTTAAACTTGCTAGTGATAATAACTCTGGAGTAGATTGTCACTTAAAGGGGAGAATTCTCTACTGCTGAGTGATAAAGTTGTACTTTAGTCTTCGTGCCTTCAAATCCACAATTGGTAAAAACAGGCCAAAGTCTAGATGACTCTCCTTTTTTTTCTCCTGCAGCTTTTCTGTAAATTCAGATTTATAGTAAAACTAAAATCTAAAAATAGTTGGAATCCTTTATATTTCAGCCTATACAGAATCCTGGATATATAAAATAGACAAATCACCTGGATTAAGAGTGGTTTTCCTTTTATTTCAGTCTCCTGTGATCAGGAAAAGGCAGAGCAGAGGGAAGGAGGAAAGTCATGTGGACAAGAAACTAATGTGCGGGATCCAAAGTCAGATGCTCAGCCTCGGGGGAGGGGCCAGTCCCTCCTGACAAGACAAATGTTCGAGGACACAAGGAAGATAGAAGTAACAGAAGCTTGAATTATTTTAAAGGAAAAGCGAGACTGAGTTCTAAATCTAAGAAGGAGAGACTAGATACAGAATTTCTAGACAGGAACCAAGGGTGGAATTAAAAATGAGGAAGACAGGAAACTCACTGGTTTAAATGCAGTGTGTTTCAATGATAAAGAACTACTTATGTCTTCCTGAACTTGGACCCTAATCTGCCCACACCACACACAACTGTCAATACAACTGTTTGTGATGCCCTCCCGTCCAGAGAGGTGACTGTCAGATCTTAAGACTCAATAATTCTCCGTGAGTGAACACTGGTAGCACAATTGAAAATAGCACTGGCCACTCAGTGTTCTTTGTACTTTCTTATATATTAACACTTGAAATGTACCCTTGGGGGAAGTCTAAGCCTTCCTCAAAAAAAGAAAATAGAAAAGAAATACACTGTTAATTGATTTGACTGAAAGCCATAGACAAAACACTTCTACTACTTTTTGAGTAATCCACACAGAAACTAAAAAGTGTGGTGAGGCAGCCAGCCTGAATGTTTGCCTGAGAGCGATGATGTTTTTATGGTGAGTGGATGAAGCCTTGGCAGGTGCAGACGGACTCCAGGGATTGGCTTCCTTCCATTCTTCATATTTTTCTGACTCACATTTTCCATTAATAATAAAAGCACTTCCCTGTTTTCATTGAAGAACTGGTTTAAAAAGGGAAAAAGAAAAACATTTACGCATTTCAAACCTCCTAGATGCGTTTCCATAATTTAGAATACAAAAAAGAACATGAATTGTTTCCCACAGATTATGAATGAGGAATTCGGATATCTTTTTTTTTTTTAACATGGCTTTTCTTCAGACACACTGAATTTAGGAGATTTCCCTCTGATTTATCAATCTGTGCCTTTAGAGAACTGTTCCATTAATGAAGGAATCTTAATCCCAGCATTTTGTCCCAGTTGAGTAAACTGGAAACACTGTTACCGGTGCATATTTATTCCCTCTGACACAAGTATTGGATATAGCACCATCCCCCACCTGCTTTGCACATCTTGTCTTCAGAGACTGTCTGTTGAGGCAGAATGACTTGGGATGTGCACTTGCCAATGATGGCCATGTTTCTCTGCAGTGCCTGGAGCAGTAGCAGCTGGCACGGGCGGATCAGAGGAGGAATGAAAGGTTTCCAGAGCTTCATGGTCTCAGACAGTAACATGAGTTTCGTTGAATTCGTTGAGCTGTTCAAATCATTCAGGTAGGACACAGTCTCTCTTCTTACTCTTTCTCAGGCCCACAGTTGGATGGCAGCTCTAAATGAGAGGTATTTTCCATTCTCCTCAGCATAAGGAGCCGCAAGGATTTGAAGGACATCTTTGACATCTACTCTGTACCCTGCAATCGCTCTGCCTCTGAGTCAGCCCCACTGTACACCAACCTGACAATTGAAGAAAATACCAGTGACCTTCAGCCTGACCTAGGTTGGTTTAACAATTTACAATTTCCCTTTGAGAGCTTTCTCTCCAAAAACCAAGGTAGGAGATCCAGTCACGTACACTTTTAGTGTGTCACTCATGGTGTGTTGTTACCTGGAGCTTGGTGTAACTGAGAACTGTTTCCACAGTCATTTGGTGTTGAAGGGTAGACAGGTCCTGGGGGAAATCCATCACCACATGATCTTTCGGCACTTAGTTAAACAGTCACCCTGACCACCTAGCACCGTTTCCCAAACATTTCCAAATGTCCATAAGGTTTGGACTGTGTCTTAATTGACAAATACCAGTATCTCTCTTACCTGTAGGTAAGTGCTTGCTCAGGCCTAGGCAGATATTGTCTGTGCTTTGTCAAGGGGAGTCTTTGGTGACCTCAGCAGAGTGCTCCCAGCTGAGCATCTAGAAAGTCTTTCCTTATTTGTAAACCAGAATGTTTCCTTCTATCCTATTTATACCATTTTAACCATCCATAAACTTTAAACCTGTTTTTCTCCTAAATTCTTGATAGAACTATAAACACAAAAGAGCACACACACATATATACACACATACACACACATGCACACACACATACACACACATGCATACACATACATGCACACACATGTACACATACATATATACACACATTCACACACGTGCGTACACATATATACATGCATACGCACACATATACACACACATACATGCACACACACATGCACACATATATGCATACATGCACACATATACACACACATGCACACATACATATATACACACACACATGCACATATATACATACATACACACATATACACACATACATATACACACATACATGCACACACACACATATACCCATATATGCATACATACACACACATACACACACATGCACACATACATATATACACACATACACACACGTACATATATACATACATACACACATACACACATACATATACACACATACACACATGCACACACACATTCACACATATATACATATATATACACACATATACACACATGCACACATACATATAAACACACACATACACACACTAACCTTTTTTCATGCACTTGCTTCATAATTGTTTATAACCTTATGTTGTCCTTATAATATTAACTCTTGTATAGCTCTCAAAGCATGCATACCTACAGACTAACCAAGTAATTGCATCTCTTAGATCATTACAGTTTATCTCCTAGATTCATTCTTGGTTTCTGGAAAATGAGCAGAAATCAGAGTTCCCATACACCAGCCCCCTGCACACCTGTGTAGGTGTCCGCCCATGGAAACTTTGGCTGTGTTAGTAAAGTATTTATTACAATCCAGTCACTATCAAAATGTCTTGGTAACTGGAGTCCATGGTTTTCCTTAGAGTTGTGCATTCCATGGGTTCTACAGACAGGGAGGTATATACACCACTGTACTAGGCAAAGCAGCTTTGCTGCCTTGAAAATCTCCTCTGTCCCACCTTTGCATCTTTCCCTCCTTCCCAGTAACCCCTTGGCTGCCACCAAGCTTGTTAATATTGCCATGACTGTTTCTTTTCTAGGATATATGATATCATTGGAATCCTACAGTATATAGCCTTTCAGGATAATATTTTACTGGGAAATGTGCATTTACAGTGCCCCTGTTTTTTTGTAACTCAACGGCTAATTTATTTTTAAATTGAATATGTTATATTATATAGACATGCTGCTACCAAGATTTGTGTGCATACTTTTGTATGGAGATATGTTTTGTAATCTTTTGTCTAAGTACCTGAGAGTGTTAGATTGTATGGTAAGCCTCTGATTCTAAAAGATATTGCCACATCGTCTTCCCAAATGGCTAAAACTGAACCAACCAGTCCTGCCCAGTTTCTCTGCACAGGGAGCAGTGAGAACCTTACAACACTTCTGGTTAAAATGTAAAATGACAAAATAAATTAAAAATAAATGTAAACTGACAGTGTGGTGGCTTCCTGCTGAACTACACATGGTCTTAACACAGGGTCTGGCAGGTAGTCTCTTTGATTATGTGCCAAAATTGATTTTAAAAGGTATTGAGGCAAAATCTATGTACAAATGTTTATAATTACACATACAGAAACCTTTAAGATTACATTTATTCTGCCTCTACCCAAAGGAAAAGTTTAGAAGCAGTTTGAGCTGGAGGTGGCTCAGCAGTTGAAAATACTTGCTGCCTTTCCAGAGGACCTGAGTGTGGTATCCAGGCCCTACATCAAGTGGTTCACAACCCTCTGTAACTTTAGGTCTACAGGCTCTGACACACCTGGCCTCCAAGGGTACCTGCACTCGCATGTACATGCCCACCCCAAAGCCCCCCAGATCTGAATTTGGGCTAGAGGCGATGGTACACACCTCAATGCCAGTACTCAGGAGACAGAAGCAGGTGGATCTCTGTGAGCATCTTTCCAGCCCCAGAGTTCTTTCATTCATTCATTCTTTCATCCATTCATTCCTTTTGTTTTCTCTTTCCTGTGGGAAGCCAGGGGCTCACACTGAGTTTGGCATCTTATTCAGACAGATTAGAGCTTCATCAGGGCACTGACTTCATAATGCTGATGAACTCTGTCAAAGAGGCTTCTGAATAATCCATGGTCTGTGGGTGGCTATGTTTCAGATTTGCTGACTAGAAACGTCTCCGACTTGGGGCTGTTCATTAAGAGTAAACAGCAGCTTTCTGACAACCAGAGGCAGATATCTGATGCTATTGCTGCTGCAAGCATTGTTACTAATGGTACTGGGATTGAAAGCACATCCCTGGGCATATTTGGGGTCGGCATACTCCAGCTCAACGACTTCCTGGTGAATTGCCAAGGAGAACACTGCACGTATGATGAAATCCTCAGCATCATTCAGGTATCACATGTATGGCATGTGTGGTATCATATGCACGGCATGTATGATATCACATGTATGGTATATATTGTATCACACGTATGACATGCCTCTGGCTGGTCTAATACTTAGATGTTAAGCATTTCACCTTATCTATACTTCTTCATATCTGGGGTAGAAACAGAGTTTCTTTTAATGCCAAGTCCATAGATATTCTTTCTTATCTTATAATCTGCATAGGTCCTAGGGCATCTCTGACCCAATGACACTTACAAGGAACTTGTGCCCAATTACTTCTCACTGTTCTAACACATGCAACAGTCTAGAATTTCAATCTGCTACTTACCATGTATTTGTCAGCTCTTACTCTGCAATTCATCTTCCAAGAGCTGGGAATATAGTATTGGATAAAGTCTCATTCTTATACACAGCTTACTTTCCGGTGTGTGAGGCAAACCATAAACAAATATACACAATTTCAAGAGTGAGCAAGGGAAGGAAAGGGTGATAATGGGAAGGCTGAGCTGGAGAGGGGCATTTGGGCAAAGCTCTGAGTGAGTAAATCATTCGACATTCTAAGGGAAGAGAATCCTCAGAGAAACATGGGCAGCTTGCTCAACCCCTGTGGCAGGAGTGAGCTGGGGATTTATGAGGAGCATCAAAAAGCTAGCACGATGATCAGAGCCAGGCAGGACCGACAGATGCGATTTCAGGCGGGTGTCCAAGCACCAGCTCATCTAGGACTTTTAGACTGCAGGACGGATGGACGTTGACATCTGTCCTTGTTGGACGGGAAGCTTTAAGAAATTTTAAGCAGGGGGGTGCATGATCTATGCTTCAAGAGGTCCACGTGAGTACATTTGGCAAGGAACTGTGCTGGCAAATGGTGGGGATGAGTGGAAAGCAGAAACTGTCCCAGGATCCCAGACAAGGTGGGGGGGCAGCTATAGAGAGCGAAACTTTATTGCTGCAGGGTCACAGGCAGCAGAATTAGCTTAATCTCCTGATCCATGGAATCCATGGAGTAGCTGGGTGACCCTTGGATTTAACCCCTAGAGATGCTAAAACTGAGCACTCACTATCCCTGAGAGTATGCTTGGTGGGGCTGCTCCAAGCGAATCATCACCTCCCACCTCCGACCTCCCACCTCCCAGGTTTGGACAGGAGTTGCCGTTATTATCCTCACCATCACCTCAACTAATAAAAGCGCTGTGTTTTCATATAAATCCGCCTTACTCTTTTCTCTTGCTACCTTTTTTCTCTTAAATAAATATGCTTGGTATAATAAACTCACATATAATAAATATTTTCTTTCGGACTAAAAACTACATCTTACTACTACATAACTAAATTAGTTCAAATATTTGGTTTAGACGTTTCCTAATGAAAACAGAACTGTCTTTTTTTAAAAAAAAAATTATGTGGTGCTATTTTCTCCTTCTTAGTTTCCTTTGCCTAAAAAACATCTTTTTAATCCCTTGCAGAAATTCGAGCCTAGCATCAGCATGTGTCACCAAGGCCTGTTGTCATTTGAAGGGTTTGCAAGGTAACTCCTCAGGCCTCTTTTGGGCATCATTCAAGTGTACATGTTGCCCCGACACAGCCTTAAGAACATGTGTTTCGTCTAGGTTTCTGATGGATAAAGATAATTTCGCCTCAAAAAACGACGAGTCACAGGAGAACAAGAAAGACCTGCAGCTACCCCTCTCCTACTATTACATTGAATCTTCACACAACACCTACCTCACTGGCCACCAGCTCAAGGGGGAGTCCTCTGTGGAGCTCTACAGCCAGGTACAGAGAGTGCTGCTGCCATGTGACTTTCATCACTGAGCCCCCAACTCACAAAACAGCTGCCCCCAGACTCCTGTGAAGAGCTTGTATGAAGTATGATGTGAAATATTCAGAGCCAACAAGTGTGGGGAAACAGGCTACACACAGCGGTTGCTTTCTTTGCTTCTTTCTGCCTTTTGTTTGTCTGCTTTTCCCTCAATCTATACTTAACCTGCATTGTAGGGAAAGAAAAAAAGAAAGTGCTCATTGGAGACTCATAGCTTTTAGATCTTTAATCCGATCTACTCCTACCAAAATTTAGTTTTTCCCTGGGAAACCTATCCAATCATTTCACTAAATGCTAAATAAATCAATATATTGTGCTGGGAAAGGACAGAAAATGCAGCTTTCTTGCAGAGCTAATCCCAAAAAGTTGTTTGTTTTGCTTTGTTTTGCCATTTGTTAGACAGTCCATCCATCTCTATGGCAACCAACTAAAGAAAAAGCTGCACAGGCTGGAGATACTTTCCTCCAGGCTGAAATTCATGGGAACCTTCTGGGAAACAGTGGGCTCTCTGGACTGGGAAAAGTACATCCTTTGACCCGACCAGCCAGCTCTTGGTCAACTCGGTCATTTGCGCCTCTCTCTCTCTCTCTCTCTCTCTCTCTCTCTCTCTCTCTTTCTCTCTCTCAAGCTATATTTACTCAACTCCTAGCAGAGATCAGGAAAGAGCCAGGTTGGGTCCAGGGAATGGAAGTGTGTGATTTTGTGCTTGTGAGGGAAGACAAGCTAGAAAACTGATTCTATTGTACTCATCCCCAGCAGTGAAGTTCCTTGGTTCTCCAGGTTAGTCCAGTACTCTTGGTAGACTATAACATAGCTATTCCCCAAAGTTTGTTTAGCACAGAATGGGCGTATCTTCCTAAATTCAAAACCAGCCAGGTCTACAGAGCAAATTCCACAACATCCAGGGCTCTGTTACATAGAGAAACCCTGTCTCCAAAAACAAACAAAACAAAACACTAAAATGTATTTTTTAATCTCTGAATTCTAAGGAATGCTTATTAGGAAATGAAAATGTGTCCTTAGAGTAATGATTTTCAAACTAGGACTTTGCCAAGGGCCTTCAGCTGGTTATGCTGAAATGACTGAGCCACAGCTAGAAGGGGCTTTGCCACTGCCTAGCTCTGCTACGGGACCACTGACCCATCTTTTATGTGCTTCACACACTGGCCATTTATTTCCACAAGGAGCTCCAGTGTCAAAAAAAAGAATGTTTGTGGAACCAGTAAAATGGTTCAGTGAGTTAAGGCACTTGCTACCAAACCTGATGATGGAGCTCAATCCCTGGAATCCATGCGGTGGTAAGAGAGAACTCCTCCAAGTTGTCGTCTGACCTCCATACATGCCACGGTGTTCATATGCGCACATATGTACATACACACACACACACACATACACACAATAAATAAATAAGTAAATAAACAAATGTAAACTTAAAAGGTTTAAAATCCATTATTCTGTAGAAAATAAATACATATATATTACTATATTTGATTGCTGTATATGCTTTATATGTACATACACATGCACATACTCATAGTTAGGCACACATACATACACACACTGTGAGCCCATTCTTCACAGGAAAACAATAAAGAACCATTTCTGAGCTTTGGTTCCCAATTCATTCTCTGACTTCAAGAATTTTAATATTCCTTAATATTCTACCCCAAGCAGAGATTACCTCAGCTTTTGACTAAGATACAGAGGCCCTCACGCAGATTCCCAGATGTGATTAGACAGTGGGAGGATCCCCTTTGCTTCATCGCTAATCCTCTTAGGATCTAGGTCCTTCCCATAGTTACTTCCCATAGTTTCTCTCCTCAGCAGATGGAAAAAAACAAAGAGGCCCTGTTCTCCTCCTTACCTGGAATTTCCAGCCCTGGTTTTCCTTTTCTTCCCTAATATGGAAACATTAAGTTGTATAGACTTTAGCAAAGACCTATATAACCTTTTCGTGGTGAAACTCCTATTATCAGTGCCTGACCAGGTTGGCCACCTCTTCAGAGAAAGGAAGTAGTCTCACTTTCAGCTAACATACTGATTACATAGCTCTCTTCAGGCCAAGGCAATATACCATAGACATGGTTGCTGCCAACCGAAACTGATGGGCTTGGGGGGAAGAACATATAGGTCACAAACTATACTAAGTCACAGGAAGAAGCTGTCTAGAATCTTGCAAAAAGTCCCGCATGTACTGCTATGTTTAGTTGCAGAAACTCTTAGTGGCCAAGACATCCCAATAATGGATTACTGCCATGTGGAAATAATAACACATACTCTCAAGTCACACTGTATCAGCTCAATTGCAGACAATCAAATCCTTGACCTGGGTCACCTTTTCATTGTGTGATAATTTTAAATATTGTCTACAGACAAGTCTAGGGAAGATGAGATTACTCAAAACAGATGTTACAAAGCTGCAGTCCACAAAAGTGCACTGAGAGTCCTGCTTCCACCCTAAGATCCAGGGTAGCCAATAGATGCTGTCTTGTCTGCATCTCTGGCAAGTTCTTGCAGCAGCGTGCTGAAGAGGCTGAGAGATAATATGTCAAAGCTTGGAGGTTGGGGGCAGTGTGTGAGTGACCACTGATACCTGCTATGCCTAGGGAAGAGAGGAGCTTATGGACTATTTACTGTCTCTGCTCCAGACGCGATTCCAGGCTTAGATAGCCAGACAACTCTTTGACCATTCTTTGCTTCTATTCTTTCATGGTACATTTTGATAGTAAAGATGTTTTCTCATTGCAGAATTTGGGTCTTAATGGAAGAGATCATATCAATATTGGATATTGATTTATTAAATGTTTAGTCACCTTTTTAGGGGTCAAGGCTTTAATTCAACATCTTTACCTCTATTGACATTTCCTTAAACAGAGATCATGCTAATTGCATTTTTTTTACATTTTCCTTTTATTAAAAATAGATTCTTTTCTCATACAATATATTCTGATTATGGTTTCACCTCATTCAGCTCCTCCAAGTTCGTCCCCACTTCCCCTCCTCTCCAGATCTACTCCCTTTTCATCTCTCATTAGAAAAGAACAGGCTTCTAAGAGATAGCAACCAAACATGACAAAATAAAATATAGTAAGATGAAGCAAAACCTATCATATCAATGTTGGACACGGCAACTTAACTGGGGAAAAGAGTCCTAAGAACAGGCGCAAGGGTCAGAAACCCATTCTTTCTCACAGTCAGAAGTCCCATCAAAATATTAAGCTAATAGCTATAATGCATCCATAGGACCTGGTGCAGCCCCTCGTAGGTGCTGTTCCTGCTGCCTCAGTCTCTGTCAGCTCATATGTGGCTTCCTTAGTTGATTTAGAGGACTATGTATCTTACAATCTTTCTGCCTCTTCTTCCACAGTACTCCCTGAGCTCTGATGGAAAGGACTTGATAGAGACCTGCAGTTTAGACACTCACTCCATGTAATGTCTGCTTGTGGGTCTCTCATCTGTTCCCGTCTGCTGCCAGAGGAAGTCTTTCCGATGATAACTGGATAAGGCACTGATCTATGAGTATAGCAGAATATCATTAGGAAAAAAATTATTGATTTTTTTAAAAACCAGTGGTGTCTGGTTTTACCTTAAGTCTCTGGACTATCTAGTCTCTGATTCTTGGCTATCCAAGCAATGTTGAGTGTGGGTTCCTTCTTGTGGAGTGGACCTTAGGTCAAACCAGACACTGATTGACTACTCCTACAAGCTCTGTGCCATTATCCTAGCATACTCTACAGGCAGGACAGATTGTAGGTCAAAGGTTTTGTGACTAGGTTAGTATCCATGTTTCTCTTTCAGTAGCCTACAGAGTACCTTCTCACACCAAAGAGACTAGAACATAGGGGTGAGGGCTCTATTAGACACTAGCTTGACTTCTCTATGTTCAATGAGTGTTGTCCTTCTCAATAGGACCCCACTGTCAGTTTGCAGAGAGCAACCTTTTATCTTAGCGATAGCTTGGGTGGTTTGGGGATTTCCATAGGACTCACCTTTACCAAGAGCTCAATTGAATGCTACCTAATCCTGCAAATGGAAGCCTTGCCTAGCTACAAGAGACAGCCAGACTTCATATCCCCCGTTATTAGGAGAACTTGTTAGGATCCCCTTCATCCTTTCCATGAAGTTTCCACTGCACTAGGTTTCCACATCACTCCTCAAGTGCATCCCCAATTGCCGACATCTCTCCGCACACTCTCTTTTCCAACCCCACCTCGCCCACATGTTCCCCCCACCCCTCCTTTCCCCACCCATCCCCAGTCTGCCCACAAAATCTCTTGGGTATATACCCAAAGTTTCTGGCCATTATGAATAAAGATGCAATGAACATAGTTGAGCAATTGTTTTCACAGTCATTCTTTGGATATATGCCCAAGAGTGGTATAGCTGGGTCTTGAGGTAGATTGATTCACAACTTTCTGAGGAACTTCCATATAGATTTCCACAGTGTCTGTACAAATTCACACTCCCACCAGCAATGGAGAAGTGTTGTTGGATTTTTAGTAACTCTATTAGTTCTTATTATGACCTGGCCAGCCCCCCAATAATTGGGACAGAGTACTATTGATTTATTTAATCAGCTTTAGCACAATTACTGGGTGATTACCCGTAAATTATTTTTCTACACTAGACTGGCTGTTTTCCAGCTGTGCTCCCAAAGTTACTTGCCAATAGTCGTCCTGTCTGTGCTGGACTTGCACCATCAGGCCATTTCCTGGCTCTCTATCTTCTTTCCTCTCTCTCTTTCCTCCCTCTCCTTTCTGCCTGTGGTCCCTACCTGCCACACTCAGCCAGGGGACTGAAGCCCCGCCCATCTCTATTCTCTCCAGTAATTGGCCATCAGCCACTTTTATTTAACCAGCCAGAGAATATAGGTGAGCAAAGTTTACACAACATCATTTGATACACATTTATCATTTGTATGTAGAAGAGTGCCTGGCTTTTTTGGGGGGGGTAATTTTTTATTCAGCCTCCTTGCTGAAGGTGTTTATCAGCTATATAAATTCCATGGCAAAATTTTTGGAGTCAGTTATGTATACTATCATATCATCTGCAAATAGTGATACTTTAACTTCTTTCTTTCTAATTTGTATCCACTTGATTTTCTTCAGTTGTCTTATTGTTCTAGTTAACACTTCAAGTATTGTATCAAATAGAACAAGCCTTTGCTTGTTCCTGATTTTAGTGGAGTTGCTTTGAGTTTCTCTGTACATAATTTGATGTTAGCTATAGGCTGCTGTAAATTACCTTTATTATGTTTAGGTATGTTCCTTGTATCCTTAATCTCTTCAGGACTTTTATCATGAAGGGTGTTGGATTTTATCAAAGGCCTTCTCTGCATCTAATAAAGATGGTCATGTAATTTTTTTCTTTCAGTTTGTTTATATAGTGAATTACATATACTAATTTTCATAATTGCATCCTTGCATCTCTGAGATGAAACCTACTAGATCACAGTGGATGGTCTTCGTGATGTGTTCTTGGATTTGGCTTGCAAGTATTTTATTGAGTTCTTTTGTATCCATGTTCATAAGGGAAATTGGTCTGCAGTTCTCTTTATTTGTTGAGTCTTTATGTTGTTTGGATATCACAGTAACTGTGATCTCAAAAAATCATTTCCCTCCTGTTTTTATTTTGTGGAATAATTTGAGGAGTACTAGTATTAGCAGTTCTTTGAAAGTGATAGAATTCTGCTTTAAAACCATCTGTCCCTGGGCCTTTTTTGGTTTGTTTGTTTTTGTTTGGTTGGTTGGTTCGGTTTGGCTTGGTTGGGAGACTTTTTTTAATGACTGTTTCTATTTCATTAGGGGATATAGGTCTATTTAAAATGTTTATCTGATTTAGATTTAGCTTTGTTAGAAGAAATTGAGAAAATTATCCATTTCTTTTAGATTTTTCCAATTTGGTGGCGTTCAGGGTTTTAAAGTATAGTATACTCTTATGATTCTCTGGCTTTCCTCAGTGTCTGTTGTTATGTCCCATTTCTCATCTCTGATTCTGTTAATTTGGATATTCTTTACTGACTTTTGGTTAGTTTGGATAAAGGTTTGTCTATCTTGTTGATTTCCCCAAAGAGCCAACTGTTTCATTGATTCTTTGTATTTTTTTCTTTATTTGTATTTTATTGATTTCAGCCCTCAGTTTGATTGTTTCCTGCCATCTACTCCTCTTGGGTGTGCTTCTTTTTGTTCTAGAGCTTTCAGGTGTGCTGTTAAGTTGCTAATATGAATGAGATCTCTCCATTTTTTTTACGTAGGCACTTAGTGATATGAACTTTCTTCTTTGCACCGCTCCCATTGCTTCCCATAAATTTGGGTATGCTATGTGTTAATTTTAGTTGAATTCTAGGAAGTCTTTAATTTCTTTCTATCTGCCCTGGCCTATTTTTCATTCAGTATATAGTTGTTTGGTTTCTGTTAATTTTTAAATTTTCTGTTGTTTCTGTTGTTAATATCCAGCTTTAACACATGGTGGTCTGATAGAATGTAAGGAGTTATTTCAGTTTTCTTGTATCCGTTGAGACTTGCTTTGTGTCCAAGTATGTAGGCAATTTTGAAGAATATCTCACGAAGTGCAGAGTAGAAGTTGTATTCTTTTGTTTGGGCGATGTGTTCTGTAAATATCTGTTATATCTTTTTAGTTTGTAACACTTGTTAGCTCCAGTATTTTTCTGTTTAGTTTTGTCTGGATGATCTGTCCTTTGGATGTAGCCTGCTAGAGATGAGAGATAGGATACAGCCAACAGTGAGGGGAAGGAGGTTAGGAGGGGATGGTTTGTGGGATCCACAGAAGATCTGGGGGTAGGGCATGGAGTTGTAGTTAGTATTCTGTTGCTGCACTAGGGAGGAATGAGACTGGGGAATTGTGTCTCGGGGGACACAGAGAGAATGGCCTCTAATTTTTAGATGTTCCATGTCAAAGAATGAAAGACACTTTTAAAAAGAAAAATGACATGTTCTTATACCCACTTTACCTTCCAAAATCTTCATTTCTGGTAAACAGTTTTCTTACCTTGATTTATTCTCTCCATTCCTAAGCCCGTATTAATTGTGACCTTTGACCAAAATGACAAATATCTATATTTTATTTAATATCAATAGCACAAATGCTGACTGACGTAAACTGTGTGCATGGTTCAGTTTGAGGCTTTAACCTCCCAGTGCCCATCTGAGATGGATTCATTCATTGATCACACAGGTCCTCTTGCAAGGATGCAGAAGCATAGAGCTGGACTGCTGGGATGGAGATGATGGGATGCCCATTATTTATCATGGACATACACTGACAACCAAGATCCCCTTCAAGGTAACGCTTCCCATCAAATCACAAGACATAATATTCATTTAAGTTATGTGCTCTACTAAATTGTACCTTAAATCAGAAGTTCTCAAACTAGATCTGGAAGACCTTCAGAATTTCTGCAGTGCGTAGCGGCATGAACAACTGGCTCATTTTTGTTCTAAGATTTGATCCAGAGCTCTTAATAGATCCTTATTCAACTAAAAATTTAATAACCATTACCTCATGTTGGAACATAACGATGTTGTTGCTATTTATTTTCACATGGTATAATGATAAATAAAAACAGGGCTGTTTTCTTCCTAGAGAAATTAAAGGTCATCAATCCTGCTGTCTTTACTGACAAAGGAAAATATTATGTGTCAGGAGATAATTTAGTAATCATCATTATAAAGCAGAGAGTACTAGTCCACCTGGGAAGATAGACTTCCCGGAAGACTGGCCTTATTAGATTATTTTATAATCTACAAAGCTTATTAGTTTAGCTATGCAGTTACTCCTCACTCAGAGGGTCTTAAGCTATGTAACATCGTTTTTCTCTGAGCTATGGCCAGGCTCAGAAAGAATATTATTATATGGGGTTATATGAGATAATAGTTAAAACATACTTTTTCTTCAACTCATTTTCTATTTATCATTCATAAAACACTTGCATTGTATATTAGTGAATGGCTATGTGCATAGATACACATTAAAAGATGTGTACCTTTTTTTGCTCCAAATATATTAACTGTTTCAATCTGTCTTGGGCTTCATTATATCACATACTATAACAAAAACAATGTCTTTTACTTATTCTTTCTTAATATATACTAATTTTTTTCCAGTTTAACATAGTGACAGTTGTTCCTTGTAGTACAGGAACAAGACTCAATATGAATAGTTTGATGTCTTTATATGAAATAGCCTAGTCTTTTGCTTAGTCTACAAATACATTTGGCCCTCTTAGACATGGGTTCTACATCCATGGACTCAACTAGACAACTATAGGTCCAAAAGTGGGGTAAAATTGTGTCTATAGTGAATTTGAACAGATTTTTTTTCCTTGTCATTATTTTGAAACAATGTGTTCACATTGCACTGGGGATGCTAAGTATCTAGCAATTATTTGAAGTACATGGGAAGATAGATGTGTGGAGATGATATGTAAATATTATACCATTTTTATGTAAGATCTGAGCATCATATAGATTGCAGTATCTGTAGAGGTCCTGGAATTAATTTCCCGTGAATCTAGAGAGATGCCTGTACTTTTGAAAAGCTAAAAACCACTTTTATCCAGAATGTGCTGGATGCAACAGTTAAGCCACACTTTACGGCTGAGGACCAGCCTCCTGACGATGCTGACAGACACCTGATTCTGATGAGCTGCTTGGGTTTCACAGGAAGTGGTGGAAGCCATCGATCGCAGTGCCTTCGTCACCTCTGACTTGCCAATCATCATATCCATTGAGAACCATTGCTCATTGCCTCAACAACGAAAAATGGCAGAAATTTTCAAGGTTAGCTTCATCTAAGACACTATTATCTTTTAGTTGTTATTGGTATCTACATGAGGCAGTTGTAGCCCACAATGCAGCTGGACTGTCGCCATGAAGCATGTACTGTTAGGGTTCTACAGACCTAAAAAATGGCAACACTCAGAGAGCTTTGAATTTTTTTAGGAACGGTCTCTGTTTTTGTCTGTAAGGATATAGGTATTATTTTCTGGTCTCCTGACCCTTTCCAGGAAGCCTCAGGAGGTATGGATAGACTATTTCTCCAATACTCCTGATCTTACCAGTAGGAACGCCAGATGTCACCTGGCAGTTGTACATGAAAAAAAACAAAGCTGTTTCAGGGAAAATCACATATTGTTGTGAGCCAAACTATATTATAGGGATTTAGCAAGTTAGACCATTCAGAACATGTTCTCTACTAACAGTAAGCTCCCTTGTACGAGGGAAATGTAATGCAAACAGATTAAAGAGCAGATTTCCATAAGACATCCCTCGTTTTCCAATGACAGAAGCGTTTGTAGAAATACAGTTCTTGTGGAAGGAGAGACCACTAACGTGGGAATGTGCTCCACTATAAATACCAACAAAACTTTGAATTTTCATATTGCCTTAGCCTACACGTTGGCTTTTTTGTTTGTTTTGTTGTTGGTGGTGGTGGTCTTGTTTATTTAAAAATAACTAGAAATAAAAATTGCCATGTTTTCTATCCTTATCTTAAGTGATCCCCCTGTGTCTACCCTCCACCCATGACCTCCTTAAGAGAGGCATTCTGTCTTAGGCCATGTAGGCTGCATCCACTCCCAGCACCACGCACTCCTTTTTGGCTGCATTGGGTGGGCCCCTGGGAAGTGGACCTACAATAATCCCGTCATTGGGCTAACTCACAGCCATCCTAGTCTCTTGTATATGTTCAAGTTACCAACCATTTGTCAGTTTGGGGTGTAATATTGTCATAAAGGAAGGCTCCCCAATGTTAGCGGCCATATCAAGGGTGGCCTTGGTTTAGGAAAAAGCCAATTTTTGTTGTGGTGATCAAGAGGCCAAGCTCTCTAGCGAGAGAAATGAGGGCAAAGCCAGGCATACCAGGAACCCTTCTGGAGGGCGTGGAAGTCTAGGGGTCGACCGTAGGGGGAGGCAGGGGAGCTCTCACCCTCCTTTCACCCACATCAGAGTCCCTTGACGTTGCCCATCGTCGACAGCCTAAAGCCTTCGACCATCGATGTGACTTGTCTCACATCAGTGTTTTGGGGTTGTGAACTTGTCTAAGACCCCCCATAATTAGACATCCAAATTCAAAACTCACATAGTTGGGATTGAACATAAGATGCCTTCTCTAACTAAACAGAGAAGGGGGAGATGCCAGAAGCCAGGACCCTCGCCCTTACCCTTACCCCCTACCTTTCCCCACCTGCATAATGTCCTCTGAAGCTTGGCAGCTGCAAGATCCTGCTTAGCAACTGCAGATAGACTCAAAGCAGAGTACCATGTCTTCTTAAGAATAGCAGGGAGACCATAACTCAAGCAGTGTACCATATCTTCTGAAGAACAGCAGGTAGATCATAATTCAAGGCAGTGTACCATATAGACCATGACATGTTTCAAGGCACAGGCCAAGAAGATTTTGTACTTTTCCACCACCTGGACCCTCTTACCCCCTCCCCTTGTAAAACATGCTATAAAAAAGCATTTCATGTTCAAAAAAAAAAAGAAATTAATAAATAAATAAATAAATAAATAAATAAAGAAAGAAAGTCAGTTACTATATTAAGAGACTTTTAAAAATCACAGAACACCATGTGTATTGCATATAATTCAAATTGTATGTGCATTGCATATAATTCAGATTATTGAACTGACATATAGGGACTGTTAGCTACCTTACCTACTTCTTCTGATATATATCCTGCCTTTCCTGATTTATTACCATTAGTATAAAATATAGGGGTCAAGATATTGGAATTTCCTTTCTTATACAAGGGAGAATCAAAGTAGTTCTTTTTATGAACTGAAGTCACTTGATTTTAAGGTATCTGTTGTTCAATAAATTACTGCCTGCTGTCTGAAAAAAAAAAAACCAAAAACTTACACAGTAAAAATAAAAAAAAAAAAAAAAAAAAGAGAGGCATTCTGCTTTGAGGACCTGTGTTCATAAGTCCTTGTGAAAATGCTATCTATTCTTCATCCATAGTTGGGATAAATGCTCCCTCCCTGTTGCCTTTCATCTCTTCTGTTGGTCTCAAGGTTTCTATGCTCTACGCTTTTGAATTTACTGGAAATTAAACCATGTTTTACAGAGTCGCAGCTGCTCATCAGATCTCCGCTTGCTTCCCTTTAATACATCAGACTCCAGAATGCTTTCCTAAGTCACCACAGCTGGCTCCCTCTCCAGTCTGACCTAGGTCTTCCCCTTTGCCCTCAACACATCCCTTCCTTCCAGCGGGAAACTGCCAGGAGAATAAACAATCTCTTCTTTAGTTCCTTTTCCTGGGATTTCTAAAACAATTCAGCTAGGCTGAGATATCCAGTATATTTAAGAAATATAAATGTATTTTTCAAGTAGAGGTAGAAGGCATTGATGGTGTGCTTTCCTTTATACTTTGTAGAGTGTATTTGGAGAAAAGCTGGTGGCTAAGTTCTTATTCGAGACCGATTTCTCAGATGACCCAATGCTTCCCTCACCTGACCAGCTTAGAAGGAAAGTTCTTCTTAAAAACAAGAAGCTAAAGGCCCACCAGACACCTGTCGACATCCTAAAACAAAAGGTACTCCTCTCTGGCTAAGCAGGTTAGGAATATGCCATGGGCTGGGGGACAAGGAAGTTCATGTCATTTAGACTTTCCAGATGACTTGCTTTATAGCCAGGGTTTGAAGACTGAGATCCCTTAACTAATACACTTGATTTGGGTATTTCTAATTTACAGACTAATTGATTCTCTTCTCCACTAACCTAAAGTTTAATTTGGTAAATTGTACCCATGTGGACTGTACCTCTATGTTTTTAATTTGTTCTAAGCAGAATAATGCATGACTCTTATCTCTGGAGCCAGCCATCAGGGTTGCTAGTCTCATAATAGGTGACATAGTCCTCTTTAGGAAGACCACTTGGGGCCTGGGGTCCAACAGCAACAGCCCTGAGACCTCAGTGTATCATGAACACATGGCAACAAAGGGCTTTTTCTCTTCCATCATGCAAGAGCTCTGTGCTCAAGCTCCAGCCTATACAGACGGGTTCAGGATCTTCCAGGAAGTAGCTTCAAAGTCTTTTTTCTTAAGCATCAAGGCTTTTGAAAACCTATATATCTCTCATATTTTTTGTCTGTTTTTAAAACGATGATGCCTTGTTATAATGACCCAGGCTGGCCCAGAACTCCAATCCTCTTACCAAAGGTGTGAGCTACCATGTCCAGCCTCTCATAAATTTTATATTGGTTTATCTTTTTTTTTTTGAGACAAGTCTTTCTGGATACCCTGGCTGATCTTCAACTGATAGCAGTCCTCCTGCCTCAGCCGCTTGAGTGTTGTACTCCAAGCCTCGCTCTACATTTCTAAGTACATTAAAAATCTTATCACAAGTTGAAACATTGACAGGATATAATACCTATTATATCATTTATTTATATCTATCTATATACCTACAAATATTATATCCAAAATAGACTCCACTGCTGAAGCAATCAGCCTTATTTCTAGACTTAATTTCTGTCTCAAAAAGTCTGATTTTTTTTCATTCATATAAGCATTGTATTCTCACCCCTATGAAGACCATCTTGATTTTGAATTTTTACTTCAATATAGACAGAAAGCAGGAAAAAGGTGAGAAAAAAAGGAGGAAGTGACTGTGTCCTTGAAGGTACACAAGTACCTTCTAGGTAGATACAATGGTGTTTCCATGTCTCCTTTACTTCCTCGGGACTTTCTTTCAGCCTCTGCACATTCTTAGGTGTCCCTTTCACTTGGCCTCAAGCATCATGTAGAAATGATTAGTGGGTGAGAGTTACTTCTCTCTGTATAGACAGAATAAACACGGTGAAGAAGGTGGAGGGAGGGAGGGCGGGTGAGAAGTCAGCTGTCCTCTTGTTTTCAGGCAAGCCTGATTGTTTAAATGACACATACACAGAGATGCTAAAGGTCCAGAAGTGGATTGCTTTAAAAAGTACCCAAGGGGACAATGAAGAGATGGCTCAGCAGTTAAGAGCACTGGCTGCTCTTCCAGAGAACTCAGATTCCATTACTAGCTGCTACACAGCAGCTCACAACCGGCTGTGACTCTAGTCCCAGGGACTCTGACACCCTGTTCTGGCCTCTGAGGGCACTGCACATACATAATACACAGAGAACTATTCAGGCAAAACCTTAACATAGAAAAATTGTTTTAAATTAAATTAAGAAGTGCCTGAACCTACATATCCCTGGAGTCTCTGGACTCAGGAATGCACCTTCTGCAACTGAAAATCACATAGAACCTCAATCCGAGAGTTGCACAATCAATCGCCTTTGGAAGGCAGGCAGGAAAGATTAGTGTAAGGAGCCAGCTGGAGCTAGGACAGATGGAAGTGGTGCGGACAGAGGGTGTATGCCTCCAGAACTGAGCAGATCTAATTAGATCATTTTAAAAGAATTTGAAATATCATCTCCATTGAGCATCCATGGTGTGTGCCTGTAATTGTAGCTACTAAGGAAGCTGGGAGGGATGATTACTTCAGCCCAAGAACAGGGGCTTAGCCTGGGAAACACAGTGAGAGCCCAATCTCCTTGTTCTTTGACTATTTGTGTTTATTGTCTTGCTTGTTCCTTGACTATCGCATGTAATGCTGTATGTTCATGTTCTATATGGGTGTATGTGTGTTCATATATGTGACTACGTATGTGTACAGGTGTGCATGTGTCTCTGAGTGAATGTGGATATGTATGTGTGTGTACATGTTCCTGTGTGCATGTGTGTGCATTATGTGAATATATGCTTGTGTATGTGTGTATGTACAGGTGTCTGTGTACATGTGTGTGATTATGTGCACATGCTTGAGTGTGCATCGCGTATGTGCCTTCATATGTGTATGTGTGTGTGTGTGTGAATATACATTGTGTGAGTAAGTCATGTGCCTGTGTATGCATGTGAGTGTGTAGGAGTGAGTGTGTACATTGTATGAAAGTGTGCCTGTGTACATGTGTGTGTGTGTGTGTGTGTATGAGTGAGTGTATGTATATGTGAGTGTGTGTGCGTGTGTGTGTGACTTCAGGGCCTCAGCACATCACTGTGTAGCACTGTTGCCAGTAGGCCTTCTGCACTGTCCCCTGTCTGCAAAGTGTGACACTCCTTCACTCTCCACAGTGTTCTGCTGGGTGCTTTACCTCTTGACTCCTGCTCCTTGACCTTAGCTTGAGTGCTCATTTCTCTACAGTGATACACAGTCTTGCTTTTGGGGTTCACTTGTACCTGGAACAGGGTTTGGGGGGGTTGTCATTTTTAATTTAAAAAATTCACACTTTCCCCTCCCCAACTCCTCCCAGATCCTCTACCCATTCAATTTCACATTTTTTTTTACTCTTAAAAAAAAAAAAGACTGATACCAACCACACACACACACACACACAAACAAACAATTGTCAACTACTTCTAAGCATGTAGACTGCCCTGAAGTTGTTGATAAATCCAGTACCACTCTATTGAAAAGAAAATGATTTCCCCTCTCCCAGCAGGTATCCGTTACAAATAGCTTCTTGGTTAAGGGTGAGACTTGGTGCCTGCTTCCCCTTCTCTGTGCTGGGATTTTGTCTGGCTTAAACTTGTATGGGTCTTGTGTGTACTGTTAGTCTCTGGGATGAAAGAGATTTAACATTAATTTAGAGAAGGGGGAAAGAAAGTGAGCTTCGTGTAGACCAGAGGACCTCTTGAGGGAGTCTGTTCTCTCCTTCATCATGTAGGCTCCTCGGGTTAAACTCAAGTGCCAGGCTTTGAAGCAAGAACCCCTACCTGATGGGCCATCTCACCTGCTCTACAGGAGACTTTTGAGTGTTCTACTGGACACTAATCTTACAATATTTTCTAATGAAAGGAAGGAGGGAAGGGGGAAGGACAGAGGGGAGGGAGAGATTAAAGAGGAAAGGAAGGCAAGAATGGAGGGAGAGAAGAAAGGAGGGAGGGAGGAAGAAAGGGAAGAGGAAAGGAAGAAAAGAAGGAATAGAAGGAGAAAGGTCCTAGATGCAGTCAGAAACCCTGCACTGGAGACAAGACCCCTTATCCTGTTTAAGGAGGTTGCATGGAGCTGTGTTCTGGGCTGTTGTTCCCAGGCTGGCCTTGAATCTTGTGGCTGAGTCTTCAGTTTTCCATGCTAGCCCATTAACACCCGCAAAGCTCCCTCAACTTCTGAGCCTAGCCAGTGAGCACTGAACATTCTAAGTGGACAGCACTGTAGAATATTGTACCTGGGTGTGGACATAGCCCTGGCTGCATCTCCTCTATGTGTACATTCTTATTACAAAAATAATATAACCACATTTTTAAAAGTTAGAGAATACAGGCTGGTTAATGATTCAGCATGTAAAAAGTACATGCCATCAAGCTTGACAGCCCGAGTTCAGTTCCCAGGACCCATACAGTGGAAGGAGAAAACCAACTCCCAGAGTTACCCTTTGAATTATGCACATAGTGTGGCATACACACATATACAGAGAGACTCACACAGACACACACAAATGCACAATAATTAATTAATTAATTAAATTTCTAATTTTTACTAAATGTTTTAAAATTAAAATTTGGGGCTGGGCATGGTGGTGCACACCTTTAATCCCAGCGCTTGGGTGGCAGAGGCAGGTGGATCTCTGAGTTCCAGGAAAGCCAGGACTATACAGAGAAACCCTGTCTCAAAAACCAAGCAAAAATTCATAACATGGGTGATGTCCACAGCTACAAGTCATGGAGTCTATCTTCGTTAGGTTTCTATCACTGTGGTAAAACACTATGACCAAAGTAGTTTTTGGAGAGCAGGGTTTAGTCAAACTTACAACATTCAGGTCTCAGCCCATCCGTCTTCAAAGGAAGGCAGAGCAGGAACCTAGAGGCAAGAGCTAATGCAGAGGCCATGGAGGGGTCCTGCTTACTGGTTTGCTCCTCATGGCTTGCTCAACCTGATTTTTTATAACACCCAGGACCACCAACCATAGGATGGTACCATCCATAGTGAACTAGGCCCTTCTACATCAATCCTTGATCAAGAACATTGCCTTGCTCACAGGCTCACAGGCCAATTTATTGGGGACATTTTCTCAACTGAAGTTCCCTCTTCTCTAATGACTTCATGTCAAGTTGGTATAAAGCTATCCAGCAGAGTCCAAGAATGTAAATGAAAACAAATTTATGCAAATTGCGTCTTTACTTTCTTTTAATTATTATCTGTGTCTGTGTGCGAGAGAGAGAGAGAGAGAGAGAGAGAGAGAGAGAGAGAGAGAGAGAGAGAGATCAAATAACAACCTTCAGGAGTTAGTTTTCTCCTTTATTCTTCAGTTCTAAGATTCCAGTTCAGGTTGACATGTTTGTGTGACAAGTGTTTTTATCTGCTGAGCCATCTTGTAAGATCATATCTTTATTCTCATTAACCTCCAACTGGAATTTAGCAATTTCTCTGACTATAAATACAGAAGGAAGTAGCTTAGGCAATACCTATGTATGTCTTTTTTACCAGGAGAAATGACAGCTTTCTTATAGTCTCACAGATGTTGGTACTATCTCCGAGAATTATGTATATTCATCCTATTTTCAAAACTATCACTTGACTCACTATCATATGTTTTTGACACATGTGTTTCCTCAAATTTTGTTTTAATGATTTATTTTTATTATCTGTAAGGGGGTGCATGTGCAACATGATTGTAGGCAAAGTTACCTGAAAAGGCCAGAAGCATCAAATCCCCCTTGGAGCTAAACTTACTTTTCAAAAAAATAGTTTAATATTTACTTATATTCTGTATGTGAGTGTTTCTCTTGCATGTCCGTCTATGCCTGGGGCATCAGAGCCCCTGGAACTAGAGTTATGAGTAGCTGTGATCCATCACGTGGATGCTAGGAATCAAAACCAGATCTTTTGCAAAAGCAAGTGCTTTTGACTGCTGAGCCATCTGTCCAGACCCAGGTTCCCTAAAATCTCTAAGCCTGTTTTGTTATTTTGATTTATAGTTCTGATAACATCTCTCTAAACTAGCAACTGTTCTTCTGGTCTGCTTGTCCACGGGGATTCTAGCATTGTTCTCAAGGTTAGAGGACTTTCAATATTATTTTAAGACAGAAAAAAAAAATAAGTTTCTTAGCAGAGACTTCCTGCTCTAAAGCTGATGAGCTGTTTCACTCTGTCCCTTGGGACCAATGCTAGTTTTCCAAGCATCAAAATTTTCTCTTTCAGGACTTTCCCAAGAGCCTAGGGATCCAGATATTACACACAGGTTCCTTGTGATTATTTCTGAAAGTTCTCAAGTTCTTCCTTTAAAGGTGCTGACAGACATTCAAAAAAAAAACTGTATCCAGAGTTTTCAGAGTTAAAAAAACTGGGCTACAGCAGCCACAATAAACTACGCTCAACCGCTGGCCCCTATGTGCCAATTAGAAACACCTGTAATGATGGAAAGCAATGAGAAGAGATCCACTCAGTGTTCCCCACCCCTTGGAAGAAGACCAAATGGAGGAACTCCATGACATCACCTCCATCTTCAGGGCACCAGCAGAACATTAGCTTTAAGTGGAAGGCAAGAGGTGTGCACAGGTCTCTTGCCCTGAACCTGTCAGGTGGTCCAAAGAAGTCTTTATCCCTGAAGGAATGAGATTCTTAGGCAAGTACTGCCTAATCAGGGAACAGCCTCTCCGTTGTGAATAACTACCCTCATTTGGGGTGCGGTGGGAGTCTGTTCAATGAGGTACTGTTGTCCTGGAAATCTAAGGTGACTTAAAAGGAAAGGCTAGGAACAATGACTTATCTCTGTTCCTTCAGACTTGACAGGTTAGGATAGGCGACAGGTTAGACAGACTCTGCTTGAGAAATTGTCATACCTGTATGCCAAGGAACACAGAGTAACTCCAAGTAAAGTGGGGAAAATCCAAGAAGTCAGTCATAAAATGAAATCCAAGATGCTACACTGACTGGCTCTAGCTATCTGTGGGCCCCAATGAGTAGCCAAAGCCGCTAGCAAGTGCCGGTCTTACACTAAATTCAGATGCTTTCTTCTTTGTCAAATGAACCTGGAAGGGGCAATTCACCTTTATAGCTGTGGTCAGCAGGAGGTGAGAGTTTTGAAGGTTTGGGTGGAAGCTCAGTAGGTTGCATGTGCAGTCTTTAATTATTGCTGTCTCACAGGCTCATCAGTTAGCATCCATGCAAGCTCAGGCTTTCACTGGTGGGAATGCCAATCCGCCACCTGCCAGTAACGAGGAAGAGGAGGATGAAGAGGACGAATATGATTATGATTACGAATCCCTTTCCGATGGTAAGAGACACAGAGCCTACTGCTGTGAACGAGGGAGTGTTCAAGCAAATCTGGAACTCCATTGATAAGCAATAGAGATGATTTTAACAATGTCTAGGAGTTTGAGAATCCAGACGCTTAGTGAGGGCAGAGGAAGAACAGGGTTCTGGTAAGTATCACAGCCACACTCTAGGAAGAGAAGGGTGGCACACGAAGCAAGGGGAGGTGGGTGGGATGGAGGTGTCATTCCAGAAATGAGTTTGTAAAGAAAGATGTGGAATAAAAACAGAAAAACACACCTTCAGCCTTTGAGCTTCAGACTGTATCTAAATCCTCTCTCTTTGTCTCTGTCTGTCTCTGTCTCTCTGTCTTTTTCTGTGTCTGTCTCTGTCTCTCTCTGTGTCTGTCTTTGCCTCTCTCTGTCTCTCCTATGCCACCTGCAGGGGACAGTGTCACTTACTGTCATTCTGTCACTCTGGGGGTCTGGCACCAAAAAGAGGAGGCTCATTCTCCTTCCTTCCTGTTCTCAGATTACTAACCCAACAAGACATTTCCTTCCAGCTCTGCCAAAGAGAAAAACATGAATGATGGGTAAAGGTTACTAGTAAAGGATTCTTCTCAAGTCAGAAATTGGGTCTGTGTGCTCCCCTTGCATGTAATTAGTGTCGTTAGCCGGAGATTACACAATGTTTTCTCCTGCAACATTGCTGATAGTTGGCTTTTACTTTGGTGGCCTCTAAAAGCCATCAGTGTCCCCATGAGAAAACACCAAGGTTTCTAATTGGATAAACATTTTAAAAAATGAAACAGAGTCTCTTTGTTTAGTCCTGGCTGGCCTGGAACTCTTGGTCTTCCTGATTCCATCTCCTATATAGCATTATATAGTGGGCTGAGGGTTTGGCTCAGTGGTAGAGCATTTGCCCTCTATTAACAAAGGCCCTGTGATCCTTGGCACACACACGATGCTTGTGTAGCTGTTCCCACACTAGTAAACATTTCCCACTGATGTAAAGACCACTAAGCCACCTCCACATAGTAGCTTCTCATACTCAGGGTTGTTTCCAGTCATGTTTCAGCTCAGAGCCCTCATTACTGGTAACGGTCTAGCTTCATTCTGACCTAATGCGTAATGCTGAGCAATGACGACTTAATATTTAGCCTTCACAATAGTTGATTGTCTAGTGCCATCAGTTAAAGGCCCAGTTATTTGATTGGAAATGCTGTGAGGTAATAATTTGAATGGAGTCATGACACGTTATTAGTATCCTAATCCCATAATATCAGGAGAATGTGGAAAGTTTTATATTGACGTGTCCACTCCCATGGAAATGCCCCCATAGCTAAACAAATCAACTCAGAGAATAAATGAAAAGTTACACTGATGGAATCAGTCAATCCAGATGTTACTCGCTCCTGTAAGAAGTCGGTCCACCAGAATATAAATTCTTTCTCCATCATAAATTACCCTGGGGCTTTTTTGTACTGTTGAGAGCAGGAAAGGGAGCTTTTTAAATTATCATTTCTGTATTTTTTTATTTGGCAAATAGTGAAATGAACACAGGAGAGAAAGAGCGTTCTGATTTAGTTTTGTGTAGGGAAGTAAAATTTAACTCTACTCTCCAATGAATTTATAAATTAGTCGTATGTATTGTTCAAGGTTTGGGTGGAGTATTTGTTGAAAGCAAAAGCCTACCAAGATCTACTCCCATGGTGCATGAGGCTTTGGACAATGACGTGTCACCACTATGAACCAGAAGTTTCTCTAATATGTCATGAAAAAGTTCTGTCAAATGTTTGATGATACCTACACACACACACACACACACACACACACACACATACACACGTACGTGCACACACAGACACACCTCTGTGATCTATGACAGCTGAAGTCCACTGTCTTGGCTACTTCTCATTTCATTTGAAAGATGCTTCTGGCTAACAAACTTCCAAGTAGGCCTTGAAGTCATGGCATGCCTTGCGAAGTTTGTCCTATGACGGCTTACATAGGCAACCATTAAATGCCTTAGCAATGGTATGTTTTCAATGGTGGTTGCAATGCATCTCTTCATCTCTCTGAGTTTAATTAAAGCCGTCGCAAGAATAATAGAGTCCTGACTAGTACTGGGCAGCTTTTAGCATGATTTGAATTAGCAATGTTTGCTTTTTTGGTTTTCATGTTTTGTTTTGATACAAGGTCTCACACAGCCCAGGCTGGCCTTTCAGTGTAGTTAAATATTACCTTGAACTCCTAATATTTTTGCTTCCACCACCCAAAGATCAGGATTGGCTGCACTTCCTTTATTGCTAGTCCTTGGATCTATGACAGTCAAAATATTAGTTCTCCAAGACACCTTCTGACTCATCACCTTGTGATCTAAGCTGTTGTAACCTGTGCTTTGCTCCATGCCTTAATTTGATGTATCTGACTCCAACTTAATTCTCCTTACCTGTATTTTCTTTCTGCTTCTCTTACTCTGTAGCAGATGTCCTTACTGCTTCCCCTGTTCCTAACAGTCAGGAAGGTAAATGTCATTTGAACCCAGTATTTTAACTGCATGGATGTCTGCATTATGTCTCTGATGTTTTGGGTCTGGTTAGCATGAAGTTGTGACACTTCTGTGAATAGAAATGAAATAAAATTATTGATCTCTTGGTACACTGCATGGCCCTGATTTGCTATAAGGATATTTTGGTCTAAGCATTTGTGGTCCAAAAAGATAGTAAATCTGGAATGAGATATTAGCTCTCTTGCTTTTCACTTTAAAAGAATACAATCATGACACACTTTTCAGACTTTTACACTTGTCCTGAATAGAGATGTCAAACATGGCAAAAAAAAATTAGGATTATCTATAATACTTAGAAATATTTACATTAAGATTATAACTTAAAAACAAGAGTCATGAAAACTTTACTTTCCAATTAATTTAAATTGGAAAAACTTTGCATTGTGGATAACAATAAGCCTTCTCCCATGAATATTGGCTTTGATGTTTCTGGAGTCAAAAGAAGCAAATAACCTCATTTCAAAAGAAGGCTGGTTAACTCACGAATGCACCACATAGAAGTGCTTGAACCATTAGATCCTTCCCAGACCTGTGTGCCATCAGCCTCTTGACACAGGATACGTCTATCAGTGCAAGACGGACTTTTTCATTTAGAGTATATCTGTATGGTACCAAAACCACTGCTAAATGAGTCCATGAAGTTAAATATATAACCCAAGTTTTAAAATTGTGCTTCAAGCCATCATTTTGGTAACGTGTAGCCAGTGTCTCGGTCTTGTGGATACACACAAGTAGCTGGATATCCTCATACAAAGCCCTGAAGGGAAGCATTTGGTTCTTTCTCGCTGACACCTGGTAACTCATTTTCAGACAATATTCTGGAAGACAGAGCTGAGAACAAATCATGTGCTGACAAGCTTCAGTTTGAGTACAATGAAGAAGTCCCCAAGAGAATAAAGAAAGCAGACAACTCCTCTGGCAATAAGGGAAAGGTAGGACATCGCTTTTCTTTCTTTTAAAGATTTTATTTATTCAATGTTTCTGAGTATACCACTGCTGCCCTCAGACACACCAGAAGAGGGCATCAGATCCTATTACAGATGGTTGTGAGCCACTGTCTGGTTTCTGGGAATTGAACTCAGGACCTCTGGAAGAGCAGTCAGTGCTCTTAACCACTGAGCCACTGTGATCTCATTGTATTGTCAGAGGATCAAGGACAAGCTTTCATGGAAGATGCTCTTTAAGAGTGAAGATTTACCCAAATGTACAGAAACAGGGCATTCCAGCCAAGAGGACAACATAAAAGTCATTCACACCAAGAAGATGAAAGGAAGCCAGATTATGAAGTGTTAGTAAGAACACAGAGACCTGAAAGACACATGAGATACCCAAACCTCGCCCCCAGGTGGCTCACAGCCTATAGACACTGCGAAAATCTGTTCAGTGTCAAATTTTTGAAGCAAAGCATATGGATCATTAATCCTCTATTAATTCAACAAATATGTATAGACTACTCCATGTGAAAGATAACGCATTCTGTCCTAAGAAACATGAAGGATGAATTAGACACAGTCTTTTTTCCTTTTTTGAGATATGAGTGTGAAGAAATACTTAGTAAGGAGAAGCATGCTAGCAATGTAGGAGAGGTATAGAGAAAGTGCTTTGGGGATTCAGAGTGAGAGGACGCCACCTTCTGGTAAAATGGTGTCATTTTCCTTGAAAGGTGTATGACATGGAACTGGGAGAGGAGTTTTACCTTCCTCAGAACAAAAAAGAAAGCAGGCAGATTGCACCAGAGCTCTCTGACCTCGTCATCTACTGCCAGGCAGTAAAATTTCCAGGTAAGAGTAGTCAATATCATCTCTAATATTTAAAGTTGCCAAAGGATAAAAGTGTGCTATTTGTCTAATGGAGTATTTCGAATACTCCAAAATAACCTAATTGTGTGACTGAAACAAATAATATCCATGGATGATCTCTGACTTTTCATAATAATTCTCCAAGGTTAATGAATTTCCACTTGTATTTTTTTAAAAATTTTGTTTGTTTGCTTGTTTGTTTTTATTGCATGAGTGTTTTGTCTGTGTGGATATATGTGCATCATGTGTGTGTCTAGTGCCTTCAGACATCAGAAGAGTGCATTGGATCCCTTGGAACTGGAGTTATGGACAGCTGTGAGCCACCGTGTGGATGCTGGGAACTGAACTCAGGTCTTCTGCAAGAAAAGCAAGTCCTCTACACTGATGAGCCATCTTTCCAGATCCCTCTTACCCATTCTTAAATAAAACAGATTCTGAAGCACATCTAGAAATTCCCCCCCCCCAAGATTTCAGAGCATATATATAAATAGTCTTATTTGAAAACTTCGGAAATTGACTTGAGCAAAGCAAGATATTTGGTTGCTGATGTACTTAAAAAAAAGAACTGTAGCATGCAGATGCCCAGCCTCCAGCACATCCATTCAGGCATATGCCTTTCCTCTCTCAGTCATTCTCTTGCCAGCCATTGTGTTGGGAGGCAGCTGGAGCAAGCCACCATCAGAGGCTTCCAGACTCAGGTTCAACCTGCGATTTCTTCAGAACCTCCAGCAGAAGTGATGCTGTTTCTCACTGACTTATTTTCCCAAACCTTAACCAACCCCTCTAACTGGAGGACTGCAGTATTCTGAATGTCTGGTGCTGGGAGGATCTCCACATGTTCAAGGACAGCCTGGATTACATAGCCCCATTCCTGAGCTGTGGGCTTGAGGCTTTGCCCAAACCATAAGGATAGGAGTTGTGGAAGGGGAGGAAATTTTTCCACTTGGCCATTTCTGAAAACACAATAGACCTAATGTGGTGAAAAAATTATTCAGTTCATTTAGTAAATGATAGATCTATGAATCTGAAGCCTGTCTCTCTCCAAAGTCCCTCTCTGAACTGCGTTTACTCTGCCTTCCTCATCAGGATGAGTTCAACTCAACTGTTTGCCCCATGAATGGGAACCACGAGTGAAAAAAAGGATAAATAAAAACATAGAAGTCAGAAAAATTAATCTTCTCATACAAATAAACAAAACAGAAAGACCTGTTGTACCCAGGATCTCTGAGGAGGGGAAGGAGCTCAGTTTGGAGGATCCTTCTGAATGTCGATTAAAAAGGCACATAAAGTTGCCCTGGACAGAGGAGTCAGGATGCCAAACCTCTTCTCGAGGTGTACTGAGCTCCAGCCCTGGCAAGCAACACTTCTCACACTGCTCCTGGCAAAGAGGACAGAGATATTCAGCAACTATCTTATATAATACTGGAGATTTAGGTTTTAAAATAATAGTGGCCGTCTTACACGCCATATGAAAAAAAATCATAAAATTTTCTTAATTTTAAGTTTTCTTCCAGAAACTATAAAACTTTTGGCAGCTGCTACTGCTCTTCTGCTAGTAAATCCTATTGAAGAGGATATGAATGAATATGCAGCAAGTATTTCAAAAACATACAGGAAGGTAGCACTTAGATTTAGTGGTTAGAGACGGCTCGGCAGCTAAGAGCAAGCACTTGCTGCTCTTTCACGGGATCCAGGTTTGGTTCCCAGAACCCACATTAGATAGCTCACAACCACTTCTAGCTTCAGGTCTAGGAGATCCAATGCCCTCTGTTAGTGTCTCTGAGCACCAGGTATTCATATATTGCACGTATACACAAGTAGGCAAACATACATATGTGTACATTTTTAAGCTTTTTAGTTTCACAGGGCATGATTTATGCCACACAAGTAAGTTCACCATGGTCATATTTAACTAATACCTAGTGATGCTTATTTCATTATATAGAAGAAAGTTAGCCTGTCGGCATCAGATCAAGTGTGGGGGCCATATTGGTCAAGAATAACACAAGCCTAGAATCCCAGCACTCAGGTGGCAGAGCCAAGAGATTTGCCACTAGATTGAAGCCAATAGGGTCTAATATAATGAAGTCCAAGCCAGCCTGAACTATCGAGTAAGACCCTGTCTCAAAAAAAAAATCATTATTGCTTCACCTTTCATTCCTTATAAATACAGGTAACACTATAAAAACAAAAGACATTCAACTGGCTTTGCCTTTTCTCAAGGATTGAATAAACCAGAAGCACAAGTTCCCAGAGATATTTCAGTTCAGTGGGAAAGATAAAGTTATACCAGATAGAGACTTGTGATAGGGTTGAAGGCCACTTGGCCCAACCCCTGACTTGAAGTGCAGGATACATATGTAGTTGTTCTGTTTTCTGTTTGTTTTGTTTTTGAGTCTCTTGATTAGTTGTATAGTTTTGGATGTCCTTCAACTACGTAGACCAGGCAGGCCACAAATGCACAGAGAACCACCTGTCTCTAACATGTGCACCACCTCACATACCTGGCTATTATTTCTAGTATATTGTTTTAAAACATTTACAAAATATATCTTTTTAAAACAGATTTTATCTATCTATCTATCTATCTATCTATCTATCTATCTATCTATCATCTATGTATGTATCTATCTATCTATCTTACCTTGGCTGTCTTGGAACAACTCTTGAGTGCTCAGATTAAAGTGTGTGTGTGTTTGTGTGTGTGTGTGTGTGTGTGTGTGTGTGCATGTGTGTGAATGATACATGTTCTAGGAGATGAGAGCTACAAGCTATTGTGAGCCATCTGATATGGGCATTGGGAACTGAACTCAGGTCCCCCACAGGAACAGTAAGCTCCCTTGATCACAAGCCATCCCTCTGACCCAACACAGCACATACTCTTTACGTGCTGTTTCTTAGCAATTGAAGTTTCTCTACTCTGTGTATAATTTAATGTTCTTTCTCAGAATAACTGAAAGTATTTCTTTGGAGTCACTGTCATAATACCTTCTAAAAATTAACTGTTATTATAATTTTGGTGTACATAAAGAAAATACAAGATGTTGTTACCTTTTGGTTTTGTGTTTGTTAAATTATTAAGTTACATTATCAGTTTCAGTGAGTCTCACCTTTCAGCATTATCTAGTCTAGTCCCAGAAGCACAGGCGTACAGTCCAGCTGCTTCAGAGGCTGAGGCAGGATATAGTATGGTAAAACAAAAAAATCGCTTTAAAGTTGAACAGGGAAAATCAAAAGAATGAAAAGAGAAGGCACGAGAGTCAGAGCCCCACTTGTTCACACACTCAAGAGTCCCATAAAAACACTAAACTGGAAGCTGTAATATATACACAGGGGACCTGGCATGAACCTGTGCAAGCTCTGTGCTTGGTGCTTCAGTCTCTGTGGGTGCAGATGGCCTTGCTCTCCTGGTGCCCTCCATCCCCTCTGGCTCTTACACTCCCCCTGCCTCCTCTTTCACAGGTTTCTCTGAGCTCTGTTCCAAAGTGTCTCTGTGTGTAATGTCTGTCTGTGGATCTATATTTGTTCCCATCTTCTGCAGAAGGAAGCCTCTCTCGTGATGGCTGAATTAGACACCATAGTAGACCTTCATGAGGAGTCATTTCATCACTACTTTTTTTTTTTTTTATGAAACCAATAGTATTTGACTTGTCCTTATCCTTGAGCTATTTAGTCTCTGGTTCTTGGTCAGCTCAGCAGTGTCAGATATACTCATTTGTGATTTCAAACACATCTCTGTCCTTTCTCTGCCAATGTTCTTACAAGGGTTACCATTTTCTGAAGATCTCCCAAACTGCTGCAGCCTAATGAGTTATTCTCCAATGAAACAACTATAGACAATAGTGGTGATGGCCTCCTGAGAGCCTTTAAGTCACTCTTCTTAAACTAGAGCTGGGTCTGTGTGGTTGGTGTGCATTCATTCTCTCATTCAACAAATATGTACTAAATTCCTGCTACGCACTGGGCACTGTGCCTGGCATAAAGGATCCAGGGACTGAATGGACCAGGAGTGAGAAAGAAAAGTCACAAAAACATCATCATCACTATGTATTTTCCATTGACTCCTCACACTGATCCTAAGAGTAAGCTCCTTTAATCACAACTACTTTTTAGATAAGAAAAAAGCAGAAGGTTTGGTCAAAGATCATGTCAGAAGAAGTTTTTAAAATTATTTCTTTAATTTTTTGAGATTATAATTATATCATTTTCTTCTTCCCATTTTTCCCTCCAAACCCTCCCATATATACTCCTTATTTCTCTTTCAAACTCATGGCCTGTTTTTTTTTTCCATTAATTTTTTTATATATTTTTCATATATATGTATAAAACAATTTTTATTAATTGTTAATATATTTTTCACGTATATATAACAATTTTCACTAATTGTTTTTTGAAGATTTATTTATTTCATGTGTATGAGTACACTGTAGCTGTCTTCAGACACACAGCAGAGGGTATTGGATCCCATTACAGATGGTTGTAAGCCTCCATGTGGTTGCTGGGAATTGAACTCTGGACCTCTGGAAGAGCAGTCAGTGCTCTTAACCACAGAGCCATCTCTCCAGCCCTCATTAATCGTTTATATGGATTCCTTAATGCATAGTACAGCCTGCTGAGTCTTTATGTTGTTACTTGCATACAATATACACTGCATATGAGAGATGCCCATTTGGTATTAGACAACCAATCGGTGTGCTCTTCCCTGAGGATGACTATTTCTCCCCCTCTCTCAGCATTTCTTACTTTACCATTACAGAAAACCAAAGCCAATCAGAATGCAGAGTTGTGGAGCCCAGTCCCAAAGGATACATCTACAAAACAACTCCTGCACCTAAGGCTCAGAGAACATTGGGGAGGAGCGGCAGAAAGACTGTAACAGCCAGAGGATCAGGGAGTTTGCTGTGAGACTGTTTTCTAGAAATGTCAGGAGCTACACCCATAAACACTAGCTGAACAACAACAATAGTGGACATGCTAATGTGGATGGTGAAAGTCCACGAGGCTTCAACAAAGAATGCCAGAAGACTTATAATATGGATAATACCTTACCCAGGCTCAAAATGATTTTTTTTCATCTCCCCAAGTTAGCCTCTAGGAAATAAATATTAACTGCAGCATATTCTATATGTGCAATTTTAAAACTCAGGCACACAGTTCACTAGAAGTATATGTGTGTGTGTGTGTGTGTGTGTGTGTGTGTGTGTGTGTGTTGTTCTGTAATTTGGAGATTATTCTTTAATAGCTATGCAATGTTTGTTGCATTTGTCTAGAGATTAAATCAACTTGGCTATAATTGCCTACAATACTATTATCAACCATGTTAAAGTGTAATGGGTCTTCTGTGCTGTGTAACAAGGAAATGGTAGGACTTCACTATAAACATTAATGAGGTTGGAAAATGTTGAGCTCTCTTGCCTGTAGCTTTTGGCTTATTTATTTTCATTTTATGAGAACAGGCCTGTCAACTCTAAATTCATCTGGCTCTAGCAGAGGGAAAGAAAGGAAAAGCAGGAAGTCCATTTTTGGCAACAATCCTGGCAGAATGAGCCCAGGGGAGACAGCGTCATTTAACAGAACATCTGGAAAAAGTAACGTTACCTTCTCTCAATATCTTTGCTTGATCCTGCATGCTAGATGACTCAGATATTTTGCTGTCTAGCCACTTCCTCTGAATTTTGAAATCCACCTTTACTTTCATAGATGTTTATACTATCCAAGTACAGCATAAATATTTTTCAATTGTTAATTTATTCTTTGAACTCACTGCAAATAGCATTTTTACTGATGATGTTCTCACATTGTTTGCCTCAAAAGCAAAATTGGAAGCACCTTCAACTGTTCTAGTGGTTTCTGGAACAGCATCCTGAATCTACAGGATACATCATTTTACTTATAATTACTTCTCATTGTAAAAGTAATAAATTCTCCCAGTTAAAAGTCCAGCTGATGCACAAGATGAATACAATTCCTTTCCATTCTCAGTGTCGTGTTGTTGTTTCTCAGAGTGGACCACTGGAGAATTCACTGTAATGTGTTCAAGGAAAAGAAATTACTTTAAAGAAAATCCAAATGGGATGTAATCAAACACAGGAACTCTCAGTTGTCACACACCAGACTATGCATTTGTCTGCCTTCCTGCCTTATCCTCCTGCATGCCTGTGTTACATTCCTTTGTATGGATATCTAACCACTTGGTCACTGATAGAATATATGGGGTTTTGTTTCTCGTTGTGGGTTGTATACAGACTTTGTATTTGTAAAGACTACCCACAGGACAATGAAGTCTTGAGGCAAAAGGACTTATAGACGTCTAACTTAAATTGGGGTTACTATCCTCACATTATTACTTAGTTTAGTACTGGTGGTTGAATCCAAAACCTTGTGCCTGGTGGGCATGTACCCTTCCACTGAGCCACACCCCAGCTTGCTACCGTCAATTTAAAAGCCACCATGTTTAAAGGTAGCAAACTAACTCACAAGTCACATTCAGGATATACTTGGCTCTGTTTCCTTGTTGCAACTGTGTATCTGATGTGCAGCTGAGAGTGATCTCTTAATATGTTGTAAGGTTTGACATTAATCAGAGGCTGATCTTTTGCCGGGTTTAGGTTCCTGTGAAGGAATTCGACAAACCTGGGAGGAATCTTCTCCACTCAGCCCAAGCACATCCCTCAGCGCTATCATTAGAACTCCTAAATGCTATCATATCTCGTCACTGAATGAAAATGCCGCCAAACGTCTATGTCGCAGGTATTCTCAGAAACTGATCCAGCACACGGCTTGTCAGCTGCTGAGGACCTACCCGGCAGCGACCAGAATCGACTCCTCCAATCCCAACCCCCTCATGTTCTGGCTCCATGGGATACAGCTTGTAGCTCTAAACTACCAGACGGATGGTAAGGAGCCTGCGTCCTCACCTCTTTCTGTATCTTACCAAGTGCAGTAAATGCAGTTCCGTCAATACTTGTTTTCTTAGGAAAGAGAGGGGTTGGAGGACAGTCCAGACAGGGACATGAGTATGTGGGGGGGTAGGGGGTGAGAACATAGGACAGAAAAGAAAGAAGCTTGTAGGAATTGTTCTCCTGGTGTTTTGGAGTGATAGAAAAGAAAGATGGATAATGCCTCCCTTAAGGGCACTTGTTAAACATAAACTGCTCTTGAGTGAAGTTTATCCAGCTGAATTTTAAAGCTCTATGGAGCCAGGAATTTCTAAGCTTCACTTATTAACTGCTTCTTCTTGCAAGTCAGAAAGTAGCAGCCAGTGACTAGGGTGTCACTGTGCCTCCCTTGAATTCCAGCGGTCCAGAGATGGAAGGAAGAGGCTGCCAAGTCCAAGGTCAACTTGGGCTACATAGAGAGCTCTTCTCAAAGGGGAAAAAGTAGTGGTGTTAGTTTAAACACTATTCAGATGCATGGCTTGCCCAAAGCTGCAGAGCGTCTTACAATGATAAGTTCAGGTTCTCTGGAAGCTTGAGGAATAAGGCATTTGTTTCCACATACCTTAGAAAATGAGGGATGTTTCCTAGAAGCTCATGCAAAGTCTTGTCTTCCCTTTGAACAGCAGAGATGCCAGGAGCTCCCGCCATTTATCTCACACGATCTGTATCTGAACCTGTGCCAAACAACTGTGTGCCCTGCCTCCAGCTGAGATCAGACCACAGCTCTTAGCTCTGGGACAGCGAGGTGCCTGGCACTGGTGTCAATGGCAGCTGACACTAAACACACCTGCTCAGCGATATCTTCCGTACTTTGTTTTGCCCTTATCATATTTACTATTTTTAGTTTAGATTGCCTAAGAACGGTATAGATGGAAAGGCAGCTTGTAGAGCTCCCATCCCAGAAGGAAGCACTGAGAGAGTGTGAACTCTCCTTAAGGGTGTTTGATAAGCTGTTAAAAACAGTATGATTTGGACTCATAAATGGAAATAATGGCAAAATACTTTCAGAGTTGTAAAGCTTTTCTTTTCCATTGCTTTTCAATCTTTCACAAGTGACCTGTGGCTTCACCTCCCTGGCTTGCTCTGTATCGCTGAGACCAAGGCTTCCTGGACTCTTATGCTACTGAAGTCTTTTAAGCACACTGTAATAACTAGCACAGTGGTTTCCTCAAGGAAATATAAGGATGCTTGGCTTGGGATGTGCCCTGTTCCTGAAGTGCCAGGACTGGTGCAGACAGGCTGGCTCCACTGATGGCAGCCGGTGCCCTAGCTAAGAGGAGTAGAAGAAGCTACTACTCCTGAGCCTACTCCACAATCTACAACACAAACTAAGCCTCAGAGAGCCTTCCAGCCACCCCTGCAGTCTTTAGTCTCCCCTGATCAAGCTGGGAGCACCTGTTGGAGCTACCCCACTCAAGGGAGGCAGATAGCTGTTGTGTGGATCATCTGAAAGGTTCTCTGCACAGCCTGGCCTCTCAGAAAGTGTTATCGTCTAATCTCTCTCAGTTCCAATCATCGAGCCTTAAACATCCACCCTTGCTGCACAAGGCACAAGCTTCATGCAGGGCCCATGTTTCCGTCTATAAGACTGGCCTTTGCTTATGCAATTGTGACCAAAGCCTCCCTCAAGACTTTGCACACAGTAGATAATCAATAAGTACGTGTTGCCTCGAGCTGAAGCAGATTGTCCTGACTGACCTCACCGAAATGTGAACCTATGGTTCTTGATTTTTTTTGGGGGGTGGGGGGTGGGGTTCCAGAACTGTTACTTTTCACACTGACACATTAGTGAGAGGGTACAGTTAATCAAAGCAGCGAAGGCACGGCAGGAGAATCAGAGGTCAGCTAATCACAGTGCATCCGCAGTCAGGAATCAGAGAAGGGGCACGGAATGGACCTAGGCTATAAGACCTGAAGGCCCATCCCATTGATCTACTTCTTCCAGCAAAGCTCTACCTCCTGAGGCTTCCACAGCCTTTCTAAATGGTGGCCGCAGGCTGAGGAACAAGTGTTTAAACATATGAGCCTCCGGGGAACATTTGACATTCAAACCATAACAAGCTATCTTCCAGTGCTTCTCTGTGACTTGAGAATCCAAACAGACAGATGAACAATCAATATCAAAACAATCATTTTTCTGTTGTTCAAAGTAATTTCCAGATTAAGAAGTTCTTGATTTTCCAAGACCTTTCCTAGTGTCTTGCTAGCATCCTTATCTCACAGGGCTCATCTGCCTTGCCATTTTGTAGATGTCAGGGGACCTTGGTGCCTCCCAGGGGTGTCTGTGGAACTAGGACCATCTATAGTCTATTCTCAAGCTTCCAGCTGACTTGTGAACTCCAAGAAGCGATCAGCAGGTCCATGCTCAATGACAGTGAACCTGAAGCTGATATGCAAAGCCGTGGTTACCATTGGCAACGGCCCATCTGAGTTCTTTCTGTAGGTCAGAATGAATCTTGCTTCATATACAGAACCCACAAGAATGTAAGCATTACAACCCCAGTTAGGAAAAAAAAAAAAAGATGCTTTCTAAAAAGCATTTATTATGCTTTATTGGATCAAAGTTGTAGAATTCAGAGTGATTTTTTTTTCAAGATCCTAAATACAAGGCTAACTATTATTGAGTGTGGTATCTGCCTACCAGTGTTTTAAGTGACTGGGAGACCATGTAGGTAATGGTATGTCTGATCTATTCTAGTATGCATTGATTCAGACAGGCCAATCAGGATGTGCTGGTTCATGTACTTCCTTTCATTTGGGTACAGTTTTCCAAACTGTAGCTGTAGCAGCAGGTGACCACTAGAATGCCCCTTGAAGACAGCGGAGGACTATATTTGAGCCTCTCTTTAGTTTGAACTGAACAGCTTCACAGAGATCCGTTTTACATATTGGAGTACCAAATGGGATCTTAGCTTAAAAAAAAAAAAAAAGATGCTTTAAAGATGTTGATAGCTAATAGTTGCACACTTGGAGACAGAGACAGGCAGATAGATCCCCCAGCATTGTGAAGCAGAAGCCTGTATATTTAAGGCCAGCATAGTCTACACAGCAAGTTTCAGGCCCCTGAGACACACAGTGTAACCCGGTCTTAAAAAAAAAAGCATTAAAAAGCAATTAGGCTAGGCACGGTGTAAAGAATGTCTGACCCCAAACTTGAGTGAAGTTGACACCTTTAAATATGAGGCACTATTACTGTTGTAAGAATGCTGGTTGGTCAGCCTTTATCTGAAATGCTTAAGACTAGAAGTGTCTGTGGATGTGAAGTTTTGCTGTTTAGTTGGTTGGGTTTTTTTTTTTCAGATTTCAAATTTTTGGAATATTTGTAGAACTATATTCATAGACTCTTTTGATCACAACCTATCATGAGGTCGGAAAGGGATTTTTACATTGTGGTGTTGTATCAATGCTCACAAAGTATTGGATTTTGGATTTTAAGATTAGAAATGCTGTTTTCAAATTGGGGGTAAAACCCAGTTGACATTTAATCACCTCAATCAAGCTTGATGGCTTCATTCTTTCAGTCATCCTAGCTGTGTCTGTTTCATGTCACCGAGTGGCCAGGGAAGGGACAGCACATGCTCTGTAAGCCAGTCACATCAGAATTGGAAGGAACCTGACAGATGGGTGTTATACACTAATTCAACAGAGGAGACCAAAGCCCAAGGAGCTTGATGTGCCTAATACGTCTTCTCCAGGAATCCCCGAACATACACTTGGCCAACTTCAGACACATGGGAAATTTTTTATACACAGATACAAGAGTAGGGGCCAAGTCTTTGTTGTTCAAAGGCACTTAGCACACTTTTCCTTGATGTTGGTTCATGTAGCAAAGTTCATTCGGCACATGGAAGGAATCTACAAGAAGGAACATTAGTCAGGTGTGTCTCATAAACCTTTTGCTCTTTTGAGCAACATTTATACAGATTGAGCCATCCGATGAGCACGTGAGGGTGGAAGAGTCCAGAAACTGCACACACAGTCGTTCATCAAAAATTGTGCCAAATAAAATTTGGCGACAAAGCATTCAAAGCCTTTGTGAGGGTTCCCAAAGTTTATGGCTGAGGAGCCTGCGGACATGATGTGAATCATATGCAGTGACTTTTTTTTTCATATTTAGCTATAACAAAACAAGAGGTAAAAATAATTATGGGCCGAAATTAAGATTTCAAGGAAATGCTGTTTTTCTTCCTTGCATCGTTAAGATTTTATCTTACCTTTGAAATAGCAAGAATTGGCTATAAAACGGTGTGCGTGGTTTGGTATTTGTAGATGAAAAGAAATGGAATGAGTCTTTCCCAAGATAATGATTTTGTTCCAAACTTCAGGATAAAATGAGGTATTGTAGCCAAGGTTTCTGTTGGATGTAGTGAAGTTTTACATGCAGAAGTTCAGAAGGGGCAGACCTAGCTTAGAGTTGGAACATGGGGCATGTTCGTTGATGTGAGCAAAGTGGTTTTTGTTGGTGGTGGTATAGTGGTGATGGTTGATGGTGGTGATGATGGTAGTGGTGGTGATGGTGCTGGGTGGTTTGTTTGCTTTGTTTTGTTTTTGTTTTATCTGCTGTACCTCTCTTATTCCTAATACAACCTGGCACATGGTTCACATTCATCAGTCTATGGAGAGTGGCTCAGGGTTTCTATTGCTGTGCTAAAATACCCTGACCAAAAGCAGATAGCAGAGGGGATGGATTACATCAGCTTACAACTCAGGTCCTACTCCTTACTGAGGGAAGTCAGGACAGGAACTCAAGTCAAGAACTGAAGCAGAAGCAATAGAGGAACACTGCTTACTGGCATGCTTTCCCAGGCTTGCTCAGTCAGCTTTCTTACACAACTCAGAACCACCTGCTCAGAAGTGGCACGTCCCACGGAGGCCTAGGCCCTCCCACATCAATCACTTATAAAGAAAATGCCCTGCAGAGCTGCCTCCAGGCAATCTGAGGGAAACATTTTCTCAACTGAGGTTTCTCTCCCTAAACAACTCTAACTTCTGTCAGGTTGACAAAAACTGGCCAGCACACAGTGAATGGCTGTTTGTCTGTTCTTCATGAAATAATGTGTAATCTTGGCTTTGTTTGTTCTGCAGATCTTCCTTTACATTTAAACGCTGCAATGTTTGAGGCAAATGGTGGGTGTGGTTATGTTTTGAAGCCCCCTGTCCTGTGGGATAAAAGCTGTCCTATGTACCAGAAGTTTTCTCCACTGGAAAGAGACCTAGACACCATGGATCCTGCTATCTATTCTTTAACTGTGAGTACGCTCCTGTGGTCCGAGGATGAGAATGAATCTGCGTGTTTCAAATCACGCAGGTTTAGTTCCTACAATAATTTCATACTTCCAAGAAAGCAGTGGCTGAGGTTAGGTATGCTGTCACAGACTCAATGTTTCTGACCCAAGCAGGTGGAGTTGTGAGATTCCTGCCCTATCTCATAAACTAATAGTGGTCATTTTGTCTTCTGGAGTACCCAAAATCATAATGGTGCCCCATAAATGTTGAGCTCCTTCCTAGGTCAGACAGACTGGCATCAGTGTCTACACACAATGAGATATATTTCCTGCTTCCAGTCTAACCTTGTGCTTCCAATTACTTAAATCATCACTGAGTTATTGACAAAACTCTACAAATTGCTGCCTAAAGTAGAGAACTTCAGGCTGTTAGTCACCTCTGCTTCCTTCTTCGTTTGCTAGCCTTAACTAACAGAGGAAACAAATCAGGGCAGGAGATAGGAGAGAGTAATGAACAAGAGTCATATCTTATTTTCGGCTTTAAATCTCATTTTTCTCTTCCCAAAGGAAGCATCCTCATAGCTATCCAAGTCCCTGGGGTAACTGTTCAAACATTCCCCCATCATCCAAATTGCTTCCTCTTTCACTCTAAGCTAGGAGAGCAGCCTAGCTTTTGTAACAGAGCATTTTAGCAAGGGTAGACTTGTTTTATCCATTTATAGAAGGCTAGTGTTAAGTCTCAAGGAAATACCCGAAACCAGCTAACTGGGGTGCCTATTAACATATCAAAGCAGACTCTGTCTGCCAGCCTCTCTCAATATTGCCTAGTACCTGTTACAAGTTGTCCTGGCTGCCATATCCTGCCCCCTACCCAGGGCTGGACTTCCCTTCATCCAGCTTCTCTGATTCTTATATTACCCAGCCATTTTGTCTGCAAGATCCCTTTGCCCTATTTTGCCTCTTGGCCATGGCTCTTGGTTCCAGTTCTCATGGCCTCTTAGCTTCTGGCTTCCCCCTTTGCCCTACCCGGTTCAGTCTGCCAGCCATGTTCAGTCTGGCCCATTCCAGATGCCTCTGGCTGTTCCTTCCCTAATGTGTACAATAAATGTTCTCCTCAACCCATACCTAAGAGTGTCAGGTCCTCATTTAGTGTGTTTTTTTCATCGAGCTATGAATTAATTTCTGTTAACAGTGTTCCATGGCTTCTTCCAAAGCTATTGAAGATTTTGTAGTTGTAAAATATAATCCTGTGGCACTTAAAATAGAATATAAATAGCCAACTCGTGTTTATGCGGACTAGGATCTTCTCTTGTGATCTGTAAGAAATGTAGCTTTGTTCCAGTGCTTCTTTTTCATAATATTTCAAATTTTGACCATTGAGAGATTCAGTTCAAGTGAATGCTGTAAGCAAAATAGGGTTTTCAGGTGGTTCTAGCTACGTGATTACCTGAGTAATCCCTTGGGTTTGCATAAGCATTTTATTAACCGCTCACCTCATCCACTGTAGCATTCTCTGTGGACAGAGGCTAAGAGAACCAGTCTCTTTGCTTCTCTTTCATCTTCTGTGACCTTGATCATTTGTTTTCCCCTTCAGATCATCTCTGGTCAGAATGTGTGTCCTAGTAACAGCACCGGAAGTCCATGCATTGAAGTTGACGTCTTGGGCATGCCCCTGGACAGCTGCCATTTCCGCACAAAACCCATCCATCGAAACACTCTGAACCCCATGTGGAATGAGCAGTTTCTCTTCCGGGTTCACTTTGAGGATCTTGTATTTCTTCGTTTTGCAGTTGTGGAGAACAACAGCTCAGCGATAACAGCTCAGAGAATCATTCCACTCAGAGCTTTAAAACGAGGTAGAGTAAAAGTTGCAAACAGTATCTGCAGTGCCGGTGGTGGGGCATTTTAAAGAAGAAAATCAAGTAAGGAGATAAAAAACGAAGGGAAAGAGAGCTGGGGTACAGTAGCAGCTAAGTGAGCCATAGCTGAATGGGAAGCCTAGCAGCACTGGAAATGTGTGTGTTAGGTGAAAGGCAAAGGCGTGCACCATTGGCTTATGGGTTGGCTTGGCTGTGGTCCTCAGGAGTTTCAGTTCCTTGTATTGTCTCACAAATTGTGATGTGCATAGACCCTCCTGGAGCTCTTGGTAATACTGTATAGACACTGATTCAGTAGGTCTTGGGTACAGTCTAGGATTCTGCCTTTGAAGTCCTTCCAGTGATGCTGAGTGCAGGTCTATTCTGAGTATCAAGTTGTACATACATGTTCCCCACCCTCCCAGCCATACCCGAGCTGATATCCTCTGGGTTCGGCAAACATGTTATACTTTCCCACTTTTGGTTCATTTCCTGTTCTCTTTTTCCTGTGCAAGCATCCCCTGGTCACTATATGTGTTTGGTAGAATGTCCAGAACAATATACGACAACCAAACTTATTTTCTCACAGTCTTGAAGGCTAGAAAGCCAAAACCAAGATGTCAGAAGGTTTCATTTCCTCTAAGACCTCTCTCCTTGGTTTGGCTTTCTAAAGTAGAGTCACATAATCCTCATTTGTACATGTCTGGTACTTCTATCTTTGAAAAATAATTGTATTTATTTATTCCATGTGCATATGTGGGTGGGTTCCTGTGAAGGTCAGAAGACAGCTTAAAGGAGTTAGTTCTCTCCTTCTATCACGTGGGCCCTGGGGATCAAACTCAGGTTGTCAGGCTTGGTCTGATATGCCTACCCACCATGTTATCTCTTAATTTCCTCTTCTTATGGGGACATTAGTCTTGTTGAATTAGGACCCACCCTCATGGCATCACTTTAACCTCATTAGACATCAAAGGAACTACCTCAGTGGTCACACTCTCAGGTATGAGGGCAAGTAGGTCTCTATGTATCAATAAGAGGGGTCATAATTCAGGCCATTATAGTTACTAGAGAAGTATGAGAAAAGACAGAGTAGACTAAATCAGTTATTTCAAGAGCATCATGCCACTCCTCAGTCTAACCACTTTAGATATCATCTGTCCCAGGCTTTATTTCTCTGCCTGTGTATATAGCAATGAGATACATACCTAACAAATAGGCTTCTTACTAATCCTAATGTTTTGACTTCCTGGTTTTCCATTTCTAATATGTATAGTGATCAACTTCCTATATTAATGACCATACAACTACATTATCACTTCCAGTGGCTTCATAGTATTGTATTTTATATTTACATAAAATATCTTGCTATTAAAAATATTTAATAAAGTAAATTTTTTAAAGTGGGAAAAAAAAGCCTTCTTGCATGTATGTAGCATATGTGCAGCTTGATCTTCATGTGGGTCCGGAACAACTGGAGCAGAGGCTATGCCAAAAGCTGCTGCCTGTATGTGGGATATGTTCTTCTAGCTGGGCTGACTCAATGGGAGAGGAAGAGCTAGCCCCGCAGAGACTGGATTCGAGGATACCCGGGGGAGGGGGAGGGGGACCCACCCTCTCAGAGGAGAAGGAGGGGGGAATGGGGAAGGGATTGTGGGAGGGCGTGACCATGAGGGGACAGTGAGCAGTATGTAAAGTGACTATGTAATAAAAAATAAAAAATATTTAATGGTGAACACTTTTTTAAAACCAATATTAACCTTTGGTTATGCAGAGATAGTAGCTGCCTTGGTGTCTAAATCATCAGGTTTTCTTATTGGTTGTTGTTTGAGTTTAATGATTATTCATTTGAATCTAAATTAGAAAGAGTATTGGACGCGTTAATTATTCATTGACAGTCCAGTAACATCCCCAGGGGACAGCTCTCTTACAGTGAGAGGTTCCTGCTGGCATGCCTACTGCTAACCACTGCTCATTTGGGGATATACTGACCACCATGGAGATCTTTGCAGATCTCAGTCACACATTGTTAAGAGGTTTCCCCAATTCTGCATCCTTCCAGGATATCGACATCTTCAGCTGCGGAACCTCCACAATGAAGTCTTGGAAATCTCCAGCTTATTCATAAACAGTAGAAGGATGGAAGAAAATCCCTCTGGCAGTACCATGCCAGCCTCTTTGGTAATTAAGTTCTTATTAAAGGTGGACCCTCCTGGGGTACATCAGAGTGGCCAGTGAGTCACTAATTAGGAAGCTATGGAAATGACAACAACAAAAATGGCTAACATGTTGGCCCTTAGATATGCAATAACTTACTAGTTAAGACCCCACAACTAGTGAGTTTTGAGAATGACTGAACCAGGGCTTACCCATCTAAACAAAGATCACTGCCCCTATTTGCTAGTTAATTCTATTATTCTTCCTCTATAAATTAAAAACAGATGTGACACTGTGTCTAGTTTCCCTCTGTGTTCACAAGCTCTGGACAGGCACTTTCTCTGACCACTTTTATCACCACCTCAAATAGCTCTGCCTTCTTCCCTGGCCTCCCTCTCCCTCACCTCAGCTGATCTCATTCTTGGATCTCCTTCTTCCTTCCTCCCTCCCTTTCCTTGTGTCACTCTACAGAAACCTTGGCTTCACATCTATGTCCCCTGAGTAGCTTTTAAAAGTGAATGCTACCACACATTTCATATTATACCAATCCCTACTCTTGCTGAAAAGAAGCACTGTAGTTTCAGTAGGTTGATACTCTAGTGGCTGAATTTCCTCTTGACTGTGGAGGAAGATGTGGCATTGTCTCTTCCACCACATCAGCTCTGCATCAAGTTACAAGTGGGTCCCAGAAATTTTGTGTTGAATAGAGCCTAAAACTACTATGTTATATAGAATTCACTAGAAACCGTGTGATGCTCATTGACAGATGTTTACTACTGAAGAGAGGAAATGTTCTCAGACTCACAAAGTCACGGTGCATGGTGTCCCAGGTCCAGAGCCCTTTGCTGTTTTCACTATAAATGAAGGCACCAAGGCAAAGCAGCTTCTCCAACAGGCAAGTTCTCTGAATCCATGATTAAAGAAAGTCAGTCTCCAAAATGTATGGATATACGTATGTGTATAAATATGTATGTTTGTATACACATTCACATAAATTCATAAAAGTCTATGTTGATGATAAATTTTTTATTTACTTATCTATAGTTTGTTTATTTTTACATGTTGGGGCTTGAACATCAGCTTTGTACGTGCTAGGCAAGTGCTCTACCACTTAGCCACAATCACAGACCTTTTATTATTATTATGAGTCAGGATTCTCCCAGGATTACCTTAAATTTACAATCATCCTATCTTTACTATGATAGGTCTTTTTGATTGTTTGAAATCCTAAGAATAGTATATTCTTGGCTCCACTAAACAAACTAGCTTAGCCATGGAGAAGAATTTCTATTGATTCACTGGCCTAACATCTGCACACACTCTTTCATCTTTAACCCATTTTAGAACTACTTCTCTTTGAGGATAGACAAGGGAGAACATCAACCAAGAGGAATGGTCTGGATCTTCCTCCAAAGATAATGCATATGATGAAATGTAGCAAGGGCAATATGATGCATAGCAGATTAGAAACCAATTGAGCAGCCATGCATATGCATTAATCTTGCTATAATAACATTAATATTAGCTATTTCTCTCATTTAAAGGCACATCTCTATGAACAGTGTAATGTTTGCCCAGCACTTTATTACTGACTTAAATAGCATCATGGAAACTGCTTCAGGTCTAGCTCTTACATATAATCAAACGGAAGCTACAGTTTAGGGTTTCAGATGGTTTTCTTTTCCTTGATTGCTTTTTAGTCAATCAATCCATAAATTCAGTGTCAAATCACTACCAAGATTTTATAAAATCAGGGACACTTCCCACAGCCATTAATGAAAGCAACGCCATATTGTCACCCCATGCAAATAAATAAGTGATTACTCAGTGCTGAGGAGAAGTAATGTTGAGTCTCTTGAGGAGATGACAGTACCAACAGAACTCCTGGAAACTTATCATCTTGAATAATTTTTATAGTAGCAAGTATGTGTGAGTGGTACAAAGTTTGCCTTGGCCCCTATGAAATTACTAGCATTCCTAGTAGCAATTGCTGTCTACTTTAAACCAAGGGCTCGGGTAGAGGGGTCAGAGTTGTGAGAATTGTTCTGCTCCTACCATCCTTAGTACCTTAAATTGTGCTTCCACTTTCATTAAAGTGAGAAATGTTAACCATGGCCATTGCATCATTGGTGAGACAGTGGGAGATGGGTATTTTTGTTAATCCAAGACAGGTGATAGCAACTGGCTCACATCACACAACCACCTCTCAGGAGAAGGAAACAAAGAAGATGTCTTCACTATCACTTCACTGCAACACAAATCTATATAATGGGATTGAGAAAGAAAACATTAGTAAGATTCTAAAAACGGGCTAGTATTTGCTGAGTGTTCACGACGTCTCACACTGTACATAACGCCTCCATTATAAACCAAAGCTATTAGATTATTGTTATGAGCATTCCCATTTTTATAGATGGAAACACCAATTCTCCTTCCAATGCTCCAAAGGCAGTAAATCTTTACAGCCTCATGTACACTAAGCAAGTGCTCTACCGCTGATATATCCTCAACTCAAAACAAATTAAGTCATAAAAGGAATCTCAGGCTTAGGTCTAACTGACTCCAAAGCTCTATCTTAAGCACTCCATTTGATTTTGCAGAGTCCAGAGTCAATAAAGAAAAAACCCTTTAGGCACAATGTCAAGGATCTACTGAAAGGAGAATTTCCAGAAGAAAAATTAGCCTTATGAGCCTTCCATGAGAAGACAGTTATTTCCACAGTCAGAAATAGTGATGGTATTTGCAAACTACTGGGTCCTTTGCCTCCATCCTTCATTACGAGATTTCAAAGAACCAAATCCACAGAGTGAGAAACCTAAAGGTTTTTTGTTTGTTTGTTTGTTTTTCTTTTTCTTTTTCTTTTTTTTTTTTTTTTTTTGAGACAGGGTCTCACTATGTAATTCTGACTGTCCTGGAACTCACTAGGTAGACCAAGGCTGGCTTTGAACTCACAGAGATTCTTCTGCCTCTGCCTCACCAGTTACTAAAACAAGACTGTATTAGATATTCCTTTGTTTGTTTGTTTGTTTTTGTTTTGTTTGTTTGTTTGTTTTTGTTTTTTTGGATTTTGGGGTTTTTTTTTGTTTTTGTTTTTGTTTTTCAACACAGGGTTTCTCTGTATAGCCCTGGCTGTCCTGGAACTCACTCTGTAGATCAGGCTGGCTTTGAACTCAGAAATCCACCTGTCTCTGCCTCCCAAGTGCTGGGACTAAAGGTGTGCGCCACCACTGCCCATAGAAACCTAAAGTTTTAATTCAATAAGATCTCTCATTCCAGCAGTGAGAAGAATAGTTATGCTGTCTGGAGATTATGAATAAATTATATCATTGGCCAGAGTGAACATAAATAATCCTTTTTGGACATATAAGAATTATTACAACTAGAAAGAATTGTGCAATACTCCTGGGTAGGTTTTGCTTATAAATTGCACAGCAAGCCTGTCAGAACACCATGAAAACAGATGAGTGTTCATTTTGTGCCACTCTTCAGGGCTGTGCCTCATGCTGCCTTTGCTTTTTTTTCTTTAGATTTTGGTGGTTGACCAAGACACCAAACTTACTGCCACAGACTATTTTCTGATGGAAGAGAAGCATTTTATATCTAAGGAAAAGAATGAATGCAGGAAACAACCATTCCAGAGAGCTGTGGGCCCAGAGGAAGATATCGTGCAGATTTTAAACAGCTGGTTCCCAGAAGAAGGCTATGTAGGCAGGATTATCTTAAAGCCCCAACAGGAAGTAAGTACATCCTGGACAGAGCCTGGTTGGTGGCTGCTCGGTATGTCACCAGCCAGCTCACCACTGAACACCTTCTTTGAGTCCTGAATTGTTATTGCAACATGGTTTAGATTATTTTTCTCAAGTGAATGTGGAGACATGGTTAATTTTCCTGCACATATTCAGATGGTTAACTAAGGAAACTCAGTCTAAAAGCAACATCCTTGTAAGACAGAGGAAGCAGGAACTTAGAGGATTCCTGTGTGCCTCAGCTATAGGTCCAGTGCTGTATTTGTTTGTGTGAAGCTGTTGTTGCAAGGGTCATCTTAGACTAGCAGTCATGTGGGAATGGCCTAGGCTGCCCTTCCCTGTAGATGCCTGAAACCTCACCTAGAAACAATCGCTGGTATCCAGGCCCTATGATCCCACAGCAGTTGACTCGATCACTGAGACAGCGAAGACTGATGGCCATAGAGTCTGATAGAGATATGCTGGACAAAGGATGATTTATGACCACATATACCCCCATACTGCCCCAGAATAGAACAGAATAGCAAGAACTATCATTATTTCACTCATACAATTTAAAACTTATGAATTATTTATTTGTGGCACTTTCCACTTAATATTTTCAAACCAAAGCAAAGGCTCAGATGAGGGAATTGTCACACTGCCTAACACTGGACCTGTTGACTCTCTTCTTAGTGTCTGATAAAGCTTTGGCTTAGCTGGGGCTATCCAGCTTTTACAGTCTGCGTAAAGAGTCCCAAATCTGAAAGTCAGAAAAATCTGAAGCACGTTGGATCCCAGGAATTAGTAAACATTTTTGTATGTTGATTCTGCATGGTTATCCCCTTGAGAGGAAAATAAGCAACAATTCCATGTCCAATGACTTTTGCTTGAATTTGTCTGTGGAACAGTTTGCTTTGCGAGGGCCCACTCCTTTACTATCCCTTTGTAATGTGGGATTTAAAGCCAGTGCTCCAACATTTATCATCAGGCCTCATGACAAATCAAGTGATGAATAGTTGAATCGATTCAATCATTTAATTCAACACATATTTATTAAGCACCCAATATGCCCTGAGGCCCTGGTCGAGTCTCTTTCCTATATAGTAGATGTGTGGTTGGTCAGATGTCTCTCAGTAGCACATGAGTACTGAGAAGCTGAGCTACTTTTCCTCCCCAGGCCTTCCTTTTTCACTCTAGTTAGTCACTATAAGCATAGCCTACAAGCCAGACAGAACACCAGCCTCTCTTCTGGGACCCAGAGCTTCCACCTTCCTTCCCAGCTCTTGCCTCAGACCATGAAAGGCCACTCTTCAAGCAAAGAAACACTGTCATTGTCCTCGCCTCTTCCTTCAGGTGTGTGAAGGCAAAGAATGACCACACGGTGCCTTATGGTCAAACATCAGGGGCTCGGGTAGACGTTTGAAGCCATCTTTAATAGCTCCCTAAGCTTTTCCTGTTTATAACTGTTTCACCTTATTACTTAGCTATCTGTAAAAAGCAGTTCCTAAGTGACTGTCCTGTTAGTAAACAAGGCAACCCTTCAAAATCACTTATAGAGTTGAATTAGGTCAGACACTCATTATTTTCAATGTCTTCATGATGTAATAATTTTTTAGAACAACATAGAATTTTCCCTCTTTGTGTGTTTGTGTGTTCACATGTAGTTGTATACATGTGTGCCTGTGCATTGGAAGCCAGAGAACCACCACAAGTACTGTACAGGAGCCATCTACCCTGATTTCTTTGAGACAAGGTCTCTCGGACTTAGATCTCACCAGGTAGGCTATACTGACAATCAAGCAAAACCTGGAGTCAGCCTGTCTCTGCCCCCTAGTGCTGGGATTGCAAGCATGTGACCCTACACGTGTGTGGCTTCTTCTCCACTTATGTCCTGGTATATGAGCTTAGATCCTCATGCTCTCCAGCAAGCACTTTACTGTCTCCTCAGCCACACACTCCTCTCTTCCTGCCCTGAAGAATGCTAGATAATAGATTCTGTCATGTGAACTACCCCCGACATCACTTTTGGATTGTTGGACTACGTAACGTTGAATGTAAGGACGCATGTAACGTTATGTAACGAGAACTATGAGTGGGGAGAAAAACAAGTTGGAGAATGGTGGGAACCAATCATGTTTTACGTAATAGAAATAGACAGACAATACCTCCACTCCTCCACCTCCATTGTTTGAGCAAGGTTGGAAACACCAGTCATGTAAGCTGTAGGGTTGTGACTTCAGGATTTTTGAAAAGGCTGGGGGAGATCCTTTCTAGTCTTGGTTACAATATGGCACCACCTGGTGGCAGTTTCCCATTCTGACTCAAGCATCAATGGGAACAATCCTAGATGATGGGACCGGTTGAAACTTCCAGGCCATTGACAGCAAACCTTGAATTCTGGTTAATTAGCATTGTTTCAATAGCCTGTGTGTGGAGATCAGGTTAAAAGAATTTCAAGAATAGAATATTCTATGTGAAGTCTTGACATCTGATAGGGTCACCTACCACTTCCTTCATATCTCTTTTTCCATGTCACTCTCTTGTAGAAGATAAACTTAAGCTACTGTCATTTGAAAACAGGAGACGGTAAGTGGACAGAAGCCATGTAAAAGAATTACAACCATATTCACACAGTTCCAAGATTTTGTGTATATCTATTCACACATTGGGAAATACACTAATGTATCAATGGCAGATTATACAAGGATACATTACAACAACAGTGAGATTATGTTTACAGACCTATTTGCTCATTTGTTTGTTTACGAGAATGAGGTGATATAAAAGGCAAAGGTGAGAATAGAAAATTGGTTTTATCATTTTCTCTACTATGGGAAAAACTTTATTGTTTGCATATGGCTGTTTTGCCTATACATGTATCTGTGGACCAAATGCATGCCTGGTGCTTATGAAAACCAGAAGACATCATTGTGTCTCCTGGAAATGGAGTTACACTGGCTGAGAGCGATCATCAAACCCAAGTCTTCTAGGAGAGCAGCCTGTACTCTTTAACTGCTATCTTTCCAGCCCGTTTGATTTTTTTAATAAAATAAAAATGAAGGCTGAAGAGATGACTCAGCAGTTAAAAGAATACACTACTCTTGAAGAAGATGCAAGTTCAGTTCCCTTGACCCACACAGTGGTTTATAACCACCTGTAACCCCAGGGCCAGGGGATCTAACATCCTCTTCTGACCTCAAAGGTTCCTGCACTCATGCGGTGCACATGCATATAGGCAGGCTCACACTCATATACACAAAGATGTAAACCTTTTAAAATGATGTTACATATAAGAGAGAGGCAAATTAGACTTCACTAAAATTCCCTCAAATTCAATTACTCAGATAATAATCCCCATTTTACTGGGAAGTCTATCAATATTCACTGAAGAGTGGCTTACCTGCCGCCACTGATTTAACCTTTCCCTGTGGGTTTTTCTCATTCCACCTGGATGAGTATCCCATGATCATATTTCATATGGCTAGAATTTCTCTTTTGTAACTTTAAAGCGTGGTGGGGGGGCATGTGTGCCATAGCGTGTGGGTAGAAGTCAGAGGGCAACTCTGTGCAGTGGCCTCTCTCCTTCCACATTTGCAGCCTAAGATTGAACACACCGCCAGGCTCACAGGTAAAGCACCTTTATCGGCTAAACCATCTATCTCATCAGCTTCGATGATTAAAATTCCTTAAATATTAACAGTATTTGGGGAACGGACTTCTCTTCAACACAGCTGTGTTTGTATTGTATTTCAATAATGAACAAAACAGTATATTTCCTTTCTAAAAGTTTGTAGCTGATTTCTTCTCTCAAAACCCATGACTAGTAGGCACCTATAAACTGGTTTACTCTAAAGCCTACATGTGAGTCAACATCAACAGAAATCGAGTCTTTCTTCCTCTCAGAAGCAGATTCATCTTTGCAGCAGTGTACATACGAAAGAGTAACTAAAGTATTAATTACCGAGATGTTTTCCACATCACCAAGATACAACTCAAAAGTTTTGCTAGAACTGTTTTTCTGTCTGCTGAATCATCTTACCAATTCCTCGTGTATTTTCACTTTAAAAATGTAGACCCTCGAAGAGAAAAGCATTTTCCAGTATGACAGAGAGGTGATCTTGAGCTCAGAAGAGGAGAGTTTCTTTGTCCAAGTGCATGATGTCTCTCCAGAGCAACCTCGAACTGTCATCAAAGCCCCACGTGTCAGCACTGCACAGGATGTGATTCAGCAGGTAAACGCTTCCTGGGGGGGGGTCACTGCCTGCCCAGAGAGCACTGGGCTCTGAGCTTGATCCCAGCACCACAAGAGTCTCCCCTTTCCTCACTCCATGCCTCCTTGATATAAATGATTGGGACAAATCAGATGTGTGTGCATTGACAGCTTGTTAATGAATGAAGTTCTAGAATGGGGTGCAGGTCAGGGACGGGAAATACATCTCTTAAGGATAGGAAATATTCATTCATTCCTGCAACAGATCTTCAGCTAGCATCTACAGAGAGTTTAAATCTCTGCTGCTGATGTGTTTAGGGGGTGACACTGCAGAATTTGTCCCCAAAACACCTGAGTGAATGCTGAATAAGCATCCCTGAAGGATGGCACAGAACACAAACAGGAGGCCAACTCTGACTGTTGACCAAGTCCTTTCCTCTATGTCAAGCTGCTGGGTTTTTGTTTGTTTGTTTGTTTTTAACTTGATTTCAAAGAATGGTTACACCTGGCATGTGCATTCATTGAACTCCTGCTTGAGAAGTGATATCGGACAGTAAACAACACCCAGACCCCTGATCACATGGCTGAGGGTTCAAACCCAGCTCTGTCCCTCCCTTACTCAGAGATCTCCAGCAAGATCCTCCGATCTCATTTAGATCTGTGTCTGACTTATACCGTGTGTTGACTAACTTCTTTAGTGAGGAGCAAGCGGCTCTGATTAATTTCTGTTGGATAAATCCTCCCCCCCCAACACACACACGATGTGTCTGACTTCCCCATCCCACTCCATTTGGCTCTGGCGCCATGGTGTGGCAAGTTTCCAGATGGTTTAATAACATGGAGATAGTATAGTGGTACCTCCCACACACAGCTGTTGCAACAAAGGCAGTAGTAACACACGCAGGGTGCTTCATACAATGCTTGGCATGTACTTGAGTGTGATTTGTTATTCCTGTTTTATGATAATCTGGCTAGTTATTTGCAGTCTCCTTAATTAACTTTGAATTTCAGATTCTCTTTTCTTTTGCTCACCTTTGTCTCCCTGGAGTACAGCACAGTACTGGATATAACAGGTCATGACTAAACATACAATGAATAAATGAACAAATGAAAGATGTTCTATTAAGTGTAAGGGAAATATGTGACTTCTAAAATCCTTCAGCACCCAAAGGTGTTATAGAGGCAGTCAGGTGGAACAGAGAGCTCCCAGGACAGGACTCCATCTCTCACTGGCTGCCTAACCTTCATGTCTATGTGCTGTGGTTGATGGGGGAGAGGATGTGGATCTAGCCTTTTCAGTTATGTTAGTAGCTGGACTTGCTCTGAATTCTGCTTGACCTCTGCTGAGTTTAAGCTTCCTCCTCTGTAATCTGCTTAGATTTTTATAAGTCTAAGCTTCTTCACCAAAGTCGGGCCATTTGGAAACTACATGAGGTAACCTAAGAATGTATGTTATAAACCACAACTACTCAAATGAAAATGAGGCAGAGTGACCTGGTTTGGAAGATCCTCTCCATCGCTGAAAGTCTGAGCCACTTCTCCACCTTAAATTTTCATTCATCATGGATGCAAAGGTGTCAGACATTTGATTCAGCTGACCCTAACTTATCTTTCAGACCTTATGCAAAGCCAAATATTCCTACAGCATCCTGAACAACCCCAACCCATGTGACTATGTGCTTTTGGAAGAGGTGATGAAAGACGCACCCAATAAGAAGTCTTCTACCCCAAAGTCCTCACAGAGGATCCTCTTGGACCAAGAGTGTGTGTTTCAAGCCCAAAGCAAGTGGAAGGGTGCAGGGAAATTCATCCTTAAGCTAAAGGAGCAGGTGCAGGTAACGTGAAAGTCACATTGCTGTCTTTATAAATCATTGATAATTAGTCATCATAACTAAATTGGGAGCTACTAAATCAAGAAAGTTCCTAAGTCAGCAGTCCTTGGAAAGTAGTTATTTTATTTTCAGGGGTTGGGGGGACAAAACAGCACATTTCCCTGTGTGGTTAAAAGATCCTGGACAGCCTGGTGTTGGCGGGACATGCCTTTTATCCCAGCACTGAGGAGGGAGAGGCAGATGGATCTCTGAGTTCAAGGCCAGCCTGGTCTTCAGAGTAAGTTCCAGGACAGATAGGGACACACAGAGAAACCCTGTCTCAAAAACTTTGAGAGGGAGGGGGAAGAAAGGGAAGAAAGGGAAAGAAAGAAGAAAAGAAAGGAAAAGAAAAAAATCCTGGGACAGAGGCCTTGGTCTGTCTACCCAATGCTTTACTTATCAGAGAGAAGAATAAAAGAGTACATACTCCCTCTGAGTATGACATGGGAAATCAGAAACCTGGGGTTTACCAGTCCATCAAAGAAGGTTCTTGTTTTCTACACAGGCATCCCGAGAAGATAAAAGGAGGGGTATCTCCTTTGCAAGTGAATTCAAGAAACTCACTAAATCCACTAAGCAGTCCCGAGGATTCACATCACCTCCTCAGTTTGTGGCCTCAGAAAGTGTTCAAAGCAAGGAGGAGAAACCCATGGGTGCCTTGGCCTCTGGTGACACAATGGGCTACCAGCAGTGAGCATGTGCAGCGTATTTGTTCCAGGGATATGAAGGTATGAAGCATTCTGAAATAGGACTCAACTGAAAGTGAGTGCTTTGTAACACAGGATGGAGCTTTGTGTCTTCAAGAGGCTTGTCCTCTGAAGGCAGATGGGAATGGCACCTCAAAACAGTACCAGGGTTCTGAAGCTATGTGTCAGCTTTTAAAATTTTAGACTTCCTGGGCTAGAGATGTGGCTCGGTGGTTAAAGGTGTCTGCTGCCAAGCCTGAATTGAATCTGTAGGGTTCACACGGTAGAAGCAGAGAAATGATTCCCACAAGTTGTCTTTTGACCTCCACATGCATACTGTGGCATGTACACACTCATGTACATGCGTGTGTGTATGCACACTCACACACACTTGTTAAACTTTCTTATTTTATAGATAACTAACGCAGGGCCCCAAAGTGTCACACAGACTTAAATCATCATACATAGGACTACCTTAATTAATAACATAAATGAACAGTCTTCAAAGGCTTTAGATTGTTCAGTGTTTATTCCTTTGGATTGCTAGTAGTATAGTATAATACGTTTCATTTAGACCCAACAACCTCGTCTCTTCTTACCTCTTAAAAAATTAAAATATTCCAGGCATGGTGGCACATGCCTGTAATCTCAGCATTTGGAAGGCCAAGGCAGGAAGATCACAAATTCAAGGTCATCCTGGGCTACATAGTGAATTCCATGCCAACTTAGGGAACATAGTGAGACCCCACATCTAAAAAGCAAGTCAAATCAAAGGAAAAATAACTTCAGTCCCCATTCTGAAAATACAGTGTCAGCTGCCAACCACAGTGCTGGATATGCAATACAAAGTCAGTTTTAGCAGACAGATGATCTAGAATATGAAAAGACCACAGGGGACTCAAAGCTAAGAGCCTTCTCTTCATGGCTTCTTTGGTTGGACTTTGTTTTGTTTTTGTAGATAGGGTTTCTCTGTATAGCCCTAGCTGTCCTAGAACTTACTCTGTAGACCAGGCTGGCCTCAAACTCAAAAATCCGCCTGCCTCTGCCTCCCAAGTGCTGGGATTAAAGGCCTGTGCCACCACTGCCCGGCTGCTAAGAGCCTTCTTTTCACAGTTTCTTTGGTTGTTTTTTGAGGCTGTGTTGCCCAGTGCCCTCCAGTGGCTCATGCTTGGTCCCTAGTCAGTGAAACTATCTTGGGAAGGATTGGAAGGTGTAGCTTTGTTGGGGACAGTGATTTAGATGCTTGCCTTTGGATCTCATTTCCTTTGGCAAATAAACTTTATAAGGATTGAACTGACTTCAGGACTTTGCTAAACATTGGTGCTTTTCTTTACAAACAGCCGTCAGCACAATGCCCACTTATGACCTCCTTTATCATGGTATTTCCAAGAATGAACACGTTTTTTAAGGTGTTCCCTCTGTACATTCTCATAAGTAAACAAGTACAATGTTTTAGCCTTTCTGACTGCTATAGTCTTTGTTCTAAAAAGGGTTAACATCTAGTTTTAAAAATCATAACCTAAGAATTTCTAAAGAAGCAAACGTTCACTTCGCTCCTACCTGAAGTGGTTAACAGTTGAGGGAATTTCTCCTTTTTCTAAAGTTGAGGAACATTTATTGGAGGCAATAAAAAGGCTGCTTATTGTTTCTCCTAAAGAATTTGCTGTTCCAGGACAGAAAACAGTGCTCTACCTCCTGAGGACATCACTGTATCAGGAAGTAACTCCTTCCAGAGCTAGCCACCAGAGCTCTGGGGCTCCGTTGTTGAACACCTTGGAACCTGGCTAGGCTGTATGTATTTCTGCTTCTTCGTGTGCAATGCACTAATTAGCCCATGTGGATGATATTTCAGGGGACGATCCTTGATGAGAAGCTATCAAGAATGAACGTGGTGGAAAGAAAGATACTTTACCTCCATCACATTTAAACTGGAAACATGATTTCTGAACTCTGGCCCTCTTCACACCTGATGTGAGGTTCACACAGAGGACAAGCTAACCAACTTCCTGAGGAATGGAGCAGGGACACCCAGGGTATTGCCCAGGGCACTACAGGTGGAAAAGCCACCCCCTCACCCCAAGCTTAAGGCAAAAAGCCTCACCTGTAAAGGGCCAGGCTGTAAACATTTTAGGGTTGGGGCCACGTGGCTTCTGCTGCATTGAGTCACCTCAGCAACTGGAGTGCAAACGCAGCTGCCGACAACAGGTACAGGAATGAACGTGACTGAACAATAAAACTTTATTTATGGACACTTAAATTGGAATTTCATATAATTTTCACAGGTCACACATCTTTCAAGTGTTTCAACCACTTAAAATTGTAAAATCTTTCTTAGTTTAAGGATCAGACAAAAACACACACACACACACACACACACACGAATTTGGCCCAAGGACCAGTTTGCTGACCCAACTTGGGAAAACTTAGAGCCAAAGGCATAGAGGTTAGAAAACCTCGAAAGCTGACTCATGGTTTAATGAGAAGTGGAAGTCTGAGGGCATTGGAAATGTAAATATGTCCTGTAAGATTTGTTAACAATTATTCAAATTAGTTCCTATATTGTGCACCCAGGTGCACTTTTTGCGCTGCCTTTCCTCAAATAGAAATGTTTTTTCGAAAGCTATGATTCATACATCCACAGACTGTTCCGTTTTCAGTTCTCACAAAGTGAATGGTGTACAATTTAGTGTCTATTGAGTTGTTATGTCTTCATAAGAAGCCTAAATCATTTTTAAAAAGCAAAAGTAGACTGAGTTGATGTTAAAGGTAGATTTATTTATTTTACAATGTTTATACTGACACTGTACTTGTGTATTTATTAGACATAGCTTTCTTGATATTGCTATGGGTGGCAAACATTAGGGGTTCAATCTATTTCAAGACATCCTAAAAATAAATCATATGAGCATGAGAAGTGGGTAGAGATCCAGAGCCATGGTGTCATCTTCATTTCTGATTTACTGAGGATCCGTGGATCCAAGTTTCGTTTGCCATGTGATTTTAAGTTATTTAAAAACCATACTTCTCGAAACAAACATATAAGTGCAATGGATCCTTCTCATTCTTGGGATGTAGCAAATTGTGACTTATCAGACTGAAATATGTGTTCCTCTAGAGTCAAGCTTATATCACTCCATTTGAAGATATTTTTCTTCAAGTTAGAAGACACACTAAAAATCTTGACTTTTGTTTTTGAGACTTTACCAATTATAGAAGGAATAAAACAACCCTTTCTTTGCACATTCTAAAAAGAGACATGTCAAAAATACACTACACAGCTTTCACGTCAGTGGAAGATTCTGCTGCACCGTCATTCTCTTGCCAGACTCAGACTATTCTCATTTGGCAGCTATGCAGCACTAATGGTTCCCTTTTATATCAAGTACTAGGCCTGTAGCAAATGCACGGTGCTGCTTCAGTTTTAAAACATATTCTGGAAACATTCATTTTATCAAATTTCTGTAAATTAAAGAGGCTAAACAGTTCGGGTTACCCTCGGTTGAAAATTAAATTACTGGCCTAACCAGCTAGAGCCAAGAAAAACCTGCAGGTAATAAGATACAGAGCCAGGCTGGTTTATCCCACCCCACCCTCGTGGTCCTTATAATAGACGGAGATTTGATACAGAACAAATCTGAATCTGACCCCATGGTCAAATACTGATGTGAACAGACCCAGCCTGTTACATCCAACTTTAGGTAAAAGGACATACTCTATTAAAGTCAAGTCTCTGAGATTGTAAGCAGGAGGGATTACTAAAATATGTAAAGAGCCAGTGAGATGGCCCAGGGGAGGCCACAGGAGCTTGATGACCTCAGTTTGACCCCAGAACCAATGGAAAAGTAAAAGGAGAAAACCAATTCCATAAAATTATCTATCCTCTGCCTCCACGTGTGTCCCCACATCATATAACACACACATATAAACATAATAATAAATAAAATTTAAAAAATTTAAAAATATTAACAGTTCGTTACAGGAATGTGTCACTTAATAGTGTTTTAAGAAATGCATTGGTAGGGATTATCATTGTTGTATGGAATATCAGAATATACCTACACAAGCTAACAGAGCTCCTGCGTCACTAAACAAGGAGGTTTTTTTAGCTTTATTATAACATTATAGGATCTGAGTTCTGTCCATAGCACCCCACACAGCAGTCCATCAATGAGCAGAGCACCACTGTAAGGTACATGACTACATTATAGCTCACTAGCACAATCTGGTATTTTCCAAAAACACTATGTTTTTGACTAAAGGCTTACCTGAATTACGGGCCACACTAGTCTACCAAATGAAAGAAATAATCTTATTCATAATAAATCAGAACGGCCACTAGAATTATGCCCAGCACCATTTTATACTAAAATACAAGAAATCTGGATAACAAAATCTTAATCAGTAAAACTGGTATAAAAAAGAACTTAAGTATGCGAAGCTGCTTTTATTGTAATGTTTTTTAAAAGGTGTGAATGTGAATCCCTGAAGAGGCTTATGGCCTGCAGAGAAAGGATCCTTGAGAGGCAAGAAAATCTGGTTCAAAACAACTTAGTTAGCTGGGCTTGTTCAAACTTCCATTTATTTCAGCCATATTTAAACACAGTACAATTTTGGAAAAAAAGTTTCGGGATGATGATTAATTCAATCCTGTGTGTACAACATTTAAGACATGCTTACATTGAAACTCTTTACAAAGTACATATGGCTCCTTCCATAAAGATGGGTTCCTGACTTAGAAACAATGCTTCTAGATAAAGGTCTAGAGCCTGAGGTAAACATAACAGCCTATGGGAGTCGAGATTGGCTTGGCCCTAAGGTAGCACAGAAGTTACTTAGGCTGTTGTAAAGTACACGCGACACCTCTCATGAGGATGGGTTTTATTGACTGAGAAGCAATGCTCAAAACCTAAGGAGGGAGAGTCTGGGATTAACAAACATAATAGTCTGGGGGAGCCTGGCCCTACAAATAGCAAAAGGTTTCCAGGTTTAGCAGAGCCTTTAATCCCAGCACTTCAGAGGCAGAGGCAGGTGAGTTCAAGGCCAACCTGGTCTCTATGACAGTCAGGGCTACACAGAGAAACTCTATCTCAAAACACCAAAAACCAAAACAAAATATTAGCAGGTTGTAAACAACAACCATTCCCAGAATTCCAGGTTAACAGGTAAACTCCTCCTTTCCTTTGAAGAGACAAGCCTGCGTGTTTAACTTTCTTGGTTTCTCTAGTGCCTATCTGTGTGTACAAGGACCTCTACATGTAAACCCACGTCAAAGTTGGCAGCCCAATTTGTAAACAAAAATTACCTGGCAATAAAGAATTAGAGAATCCAGCATGATACTTAGGAAGAAGGTGAAGACACTCTTCTTTTCAGTCACCTGTCCACTTACAACTGGTTAATTGACAAGATTAGAATACTAAAGAGTCTGGGAAAGGGGGTAGCTGAGGATAAATCTGTGGGCAGTAAGGATACTGTCGGGTGGAAAGGCCCTCCCGAGGAAAGGCTTCTTCGCATGTCATCCACAGCACAAGCACGAGGTTAGAGTCTCCAGGTGAGCAGAACGGGAGTCTAGACTCAAAACTTGTTTTCATAATGGTTTCCCATCTCAATGGTTCTGGAGGTACTGATGGTTCCTGCAGGCCCAGTACAATACATGCCAAGTTTCTCTTTAAAACTTATCTTCCCTTCTCTCTGTTCCCTCCCAATATCTGCAGACACCAAAGGCCTGGTTCTGAAAGGACTAAGGGACTGCACCTTTGCTGCAGTGAAATAGAATTATCTCCAAAACACATTTAAAGCGTCACAGACAGCTACCCTCCTGCCAATAAAGAACAAGGTTTTTGGAGCTTTTTTTTTTTTTAATCTTCTATTTGGCAGTGTAAGAAGCAGCCCCTGGATACAAGATTACAGATGCACTTTTAATCCCTTTACAGCTGCTTCTCTCACAAAACCACCAAGGCCAGAAAAGGCGAATGCACAGGTCCCAAGTGATCAGACAGCAGCAATGTCTTAGACAAAGTCTGGACCTTTCTCATCCCTCCCATGGCCCTTGGTTAAGGTACACATTCTCTGCGATCTCTTCCTAAAGTGACCACAAACTAGAGACTTCTGAAACAGGAATATGTTAAATAAATGGCTTTTAAACACCTTCTGAATCTCCATTACTAAGATACCTGACACTTCTTTGACTGAACACATACTGTGCTTATTTCAGATGACAGTCTCTGATCTCGGAAAGAATTCATTCTGACACTGAACTGGGTAATGCTTCATTTTTAAACAGTGTCAATTACCTGGCTTGGCATCAAAGACCATGAAGCACTAAGGCTGTTTTACTCCTACTAGTGCACCTCGCTTTTAAGTGCCTCATGTACTGCTGAGCACATTAATAGGTGCTCAAGATCTGTCTATAAAAAATTAAGGCTGTAGCTAATATAACCCTCAAGGTGTACATATATATATGTGCTTGTGATTATTAATGACTATAATATTTATTTACTCCATGAAAAAACATTAATATAAGGCTATATTAAAAAGTTAATGTACATATAAGGTTCATCACATTCACATGCATTATTGAAATGATAACTGTATAAATTTATGGTTCAACTGTGACAAGAAACTGAAAAGTGTAATACAGTTATGAAATACTCAAGTCAATTTCTATTTTAAAGCTGACTTTTCAGCTATATACAACTGATGCTAATGAAGTATGAATGCATCTGTGTTAGAAAATAACTGATTTATGATATACAGACAAATCTTTTGGTTGTATATACAAATATTTCTAACATTCTTTGAATTTTTTATTCAAGTAGTAGAGTTAGAGAAAGTATTTGTATGCTGAACATACATTTTCTCATCATCAATAACCAAACCTTGACTGGGTGTAGCAGGAGGCAGAGCTAAGAGCCTCTCTGTGAGTTCCAGGCCAGTCTGGTCTACACAGGGAGTTCCAGGACAACTAAGATTACATAGGAAGACCCTGTTTCAAAACGAAAAAAAAATAAAGCCTTAAAAATAGGCCTTCAGAAATTATTTTTAGGCTGGGCATGGCTTTAATCCCAGGCAGGCAGATTTCTCTGAGTTCCAGGACAGAGCAGGGTATATAGCGAGACTCTATCTCAAAGAAAAAAAAGAAAGAAAAGGATTTACTTCCAGAACTCATGCATAAGAATACACTCAAGTTCAAATCCAGTTGGTAACTGTTCCCCGCACTGCTCTCTCCTCCTGTAACAGTCAGTCTCTTCTCTGCCTACACACCAGATGCCCAACTTAATTAGGAAAAGTAAAGGCTGGCTTTAAACTGTTAACTACCCCTGACTCTTCTGGGTGGTGAAGGAATTTTCTGGTTTCACAATTTTATGAGGAAAGAGTTCTACGCCCCGGTGGCTTCTACGGCACTGAATTCACAGTCTATTTAGCTGAACTGTTTTTCACTAAAGTAAAAAACAAAACCTCACAAGACTCGGAAGTAAAAATAGAAGCTACTTTATTCAGTTATTAATAGCAGAAAATACGTATGTACACATTTTGTTTTTGTAAGTCATCTCTACAATGATAATAGCTATTATTTAAAATAGTTATTTATAACTCTATTTATAAACATATACAGTTTTTATCTCTAAGAATTTAAGAGAAGAACCGTTTCCCGGCTGATCAGGAGCCAACACTCCTACGGCACTATGGGACACTTTCCTGGTTGGTCAGGACCCGATACTCCTATGGCACTATGGGAATCTTGGACCTTTCATCCTACTGAGCAGTTTTCCCTCATCAGTCTCAGATAAAAAAAAATAACCCAACCTCACAGGTTCTGGATTCTCACTCACACTCTCTCTGACACTAGCAATGAGAGCACTCACTCCTCCTTAAAGGTCAGATCTGGTCATTCCTTACTGTGTCACTCAACAAGAACCAATGAACAAGAGTCT